AAATAAATAAAAATATTAAAATTTCATGAAAATAATGTGTATGTGCTATGGCAACCATAGTCCACCATACTTATGATTTTATATTTTGTATTTGAATTTATATTTTGTATTTGAATTTCCATTTTGTAAACTAATTTACAATTTTGTTTTTTGAAAAACAATTTCTATTTTTTTCGAGCAGGCCGATTCTGTGACCTTCATCATGTCATGTAGCTCGCCTGTACGACGTTTCCGCTCTCCGCCTGACATTGTGGAACGGTCGTAGGTTTACTGATCAGGAAAACTTGTCACTTAACCAGAAATACTTCTTTAAAAGGCGTCGTTATGAGATTTGGCCTTGCATAATCAAAGACATAGTTAAAGACAACGCGTTTGAAAGATGTACCTCCGAGGCCAAATGGGCGTATAAAAATAGCCGAGGTATGCCGAATTACAAGCGTCTGTTATCAACAAAATGGCGACATGGAATTGAAATGAAATGAAATGGGGGTTAACATCCTAATGTTCTGCTTCAACTGGGCTAATAATCGGGCAAATGAAGACGGGCATACGCCATATACAGTGTACTATGAGGGGAATTTTGCCCACTCTTATATCGAATTCCAACTGCCATGGGTCATTTTATTTGTATGCCAATGTGTACGCGGGACCTTGGTTTTTCGTCCCATCCGAACGACTAGACATTTGCCCTTGCCAGCCCTTCCGTCCTGCACCACTGACAAGATGAAACTACGCCTGAAAATCGCGAACTCGCGACCTCCAGGATAACGAGCCAGCGTCTTATTCCCATGGCGACAGGGCATTCCGGTAGTAGAAATACTAGGCCTATTACTGGGAAGTTGTAAGTGAACCGGGGTGGTCTTTTGGTTCAGAATAAAAATTTACAAATTAAAAATAATCTACACAAATAGAAATTATTTTACGAAATTAGAAATTATTTTACAAAATTAGAAATTATTTTACAAAATTAGAAATTATTTTACAAAATTAGAAATTATTTTACAAAATTAGAAATTATTTTACGAAATTAGAAATTATTTTACGAAATAAGAAGATATTTTACGAAATAAGAAATTATTTTACAAAATTATTAATTTTTTTTAAATTAAATAATTGAATATCATTTTACAAAAAACTAAATAATTAATCTACAAAATTAAATAATTAATCTACAATTTAATTTAATATTATTTTACAAAATTTAATATTATTTTGATATTATTTTACAAAATTTAATATTATTTTACAAAATTTAATATTATTTTACAAAATTTAATATTATTTTACAAAATTAAAAATATAAATAGGAAATAAAAAAAAAACCTACAAAATTAAACATTATTCTACAAAATCGAAAATTAAAAAAAGAAATCAGAAAATATTTTAGGACATAATTAAAATTAAAATAGGAAATAATAAAACAAAAAAAATAGGTCGTATTTTTGAGCTTCCGTAGTTATGACGTTTAAAATAAAATATGTTAAAATGTGTGATAAGAGTATATATTTAGATATTTTATGAATGTTATGAATTGTTTAAAACATATAGCATATGAAAGTTTAAGATAGGAATTGGGATAATTTTTTTGTTTTATGTTGATCTAACCAAGGTGACTGTTCACTCCTGAAGTGATCATAGATACGGAGCACGAGAATAATCCGGGGTATGTTCTATAAGGCGATATAAATAGCCATCGCTCGTGAATTTTCTACACATCTATCAACTATGAGTAGGGTTTGGACAATATTAAAAACAAAAATCTATTGTTAACGATTCTGAATAATAGTAATATTTAGCTTTTTGACTATTACAGCATCTTTAGAAAATTAATTTGCTTTATTATTAACCATGCCGCCAGGAGCGGCATCGTTTGGTTTGGTACAATTAATATCTCCGAATCTCTGTCGTTATGCAAGAATAGAATACTAGTAGAATTTTTCCTCTTCTTTTACAAGGTTCTTAAAACAATTGTTGAGTAGCCAAGATTTATTGATCTAGCTTTCTGTAATGTTTCTTAGAAAAAAGATTTGATTATCCCGACATGTCATCAGCCGGTAGACTGGTTTAGCGAGACTAATCTCAAACCAAGGGCACTAAAGATACTCGGATGTAATGGCCGCTTTTCGTTTACCTTTTCGGTCTTTTTTTTTTAAAAAAAATTGTTTTATTGATATTTAAATGGTTATAATTTGTTAAATACAACCCGACTGTCTCTTTAGTGACTTTAAATGTGAGAAACGAAGTTATGGCTTGTAAATATATATATATATGTCAGAATGAAGTAAAGTGGAGAATTTTTTATCTGGACGGATTTTTTAATTTTATTTATGCATTTATCTACCGTAAACAAAGAAGTACTTGTACTTTATTTACTTTATATATATATATATATATATATATATATATATATATATATATATTGTGGTACAAATGTCGAAATATTGCAGATATTTATTTGTATATAATCTGTAAATATTCTACTAATTTGGGAAACTTTAATAAAATAATAATAATTATTGTTATTATTTAATCTCAGGGTGATTAGACAATCAAAATAACACATCTGTGAGAACATTATCTGAGGTATAAAGGGTCAGAAATGGGGCTTGACGTCCATCTAACACAAGCTTGGACATTTCGTATCTAACATGGTACAATTTTATTCAGTAATTCGCTAGCGCATTGGGGTCATTAACAGTGGTAGGGTCCGATGTAAACTTACAAGTTTAGACAGACGGCCATACAACACATATCACTTTAGTCAATTACAGACCTTTGTTATCTAAAGCGCAGGCGTTAGACCATTCGGCAACTCGCCAATCAGCAAGAACACCCCCACTCCGCCCAATTTGGTAATAAATGAAATGTAATGGGGTTTAACGTCCTACTCTTCTGCTCCGACTCGGCCACCGAAGACCGACATACACCATACAATATGCTATGAGGGACATTTTGCCCGGACAGCGGCGCTACGGACTACTCTTTTGTGGAATCCCAGCTGCCAAGGGATCTTTTACGTACACGCCTATGTGTACGCGGGATCGCGGTTTTTCGTCCCATCCGAACGACTATACTGCGAGGAGTATGACAAATAGAGGCATTCGAGATCAATGCAAATAATCCGCAATAATAAACACACCACAGTTGGGATAGACAGCTGTCGAGGATAGGTGCTTGTAAGACTGTTTTCGATTTTTATTACTACGAATTCTAGTATATCGGCATTTAATTCTAGTTTGATTGTGAACTCCAAAGCCGAATTGGTCAGTGTTTTAGGATATCTGTGTATCTTCTACAATTCTGTGTTTTGAGATGCCATGTTTTGTCATAATTGGTCAAAGGGTGAGTTGGGGGCGGGGGGGCTATAAAACAAGAATAAAAGAGAGTGTATACCAATATCTCGGTATAATTATGAGTTGGCTATGTGGACAGTTTGGATTCTGGCGGATAAATAATCAGACAAAAGAGCACAGACACACAAAAGTAAAAAGAGAAGAGTACCCGATCCAATCGATTCACCACTTCCCAGGTAATATAAATAGTTCTTGAGTTATTGAGCTGGAAATGTTAGTAAATAAATAATACATACTATACCATATTAAAAATGACACGACACATGCTTTGGAATGCAAGTATACATGACATAACTAACGGTTGTATGAAAAAACACACAGAAAATGTTCCGTTTTATTTACCTATTACTGTGAATAACTTAAACCTGAATTACGACATGGGTTTGTTGTCCCATGCGCATCTGTGTCCAATCAAATAATTCCAGCAGGTCGTCAAATCCTTGACCAGTAAGGAGGTAGTACAACCACAATTAAACTTTGACCAGGCAAGAACCGCAATCCCAAATCTGTCTCGTAATTTAACACCCAAGAGCTCAAGGACGCGCTCTTTCAGTCTTGTCCCGTAATGTAATTTCCCGGAGCTCAAGGATATTATATTCCTTCAGTCTTGTCACAAAAGGCCCCAAAACCACACCATATCCGCACTCTGAAATCTACATAAAAGAAACTATTGGACGTTGTGTTCCAGTCGTACTCGCCTTCCTGGACATTTACTTTAAGACTAACTTTTGTTATGTCTTATTTGGTTAATTTAAGATTAGAGTTGCACAGTGGATTTACACAAGTTCTCAAAGTTAAAGGGGGATAACTCCATATATCAATCTTACCTCGTCGTTTACCAATCATCTCGCTTACAAATAAAGACGGTAGATCAGAAAACAAATCTCCATTTTTCACCAAGGCTTCTTTTATTTTAACATAACCATTTAAAACTATGACTAATCTGGGCCCAAAATACATACTAAATATATCACCATATTTCTTTCTCATTCTTCTCAAGATGATGTTAAAGCTGAACTCCGATTACAAAACTACAGATATAATTCCAACTGCCAGGGGATATTTTACGTGGAAACCAATGTGTACACGAAACCTCGGATTTTCATACCACCCGAACGACTAGACAGCTGCCCTTGTCAGGCTCTTCGTCCTGCAACACTGACAAGGGGAAACCACGCCGGAAAATACCGATGAGCTTTCTCAGCCAGCACCGGGATCGAACCAGCGACCTCCAGACTAACGAGCCAGTGTCTAACTCACTTAGCCACCATGCCACAGACCTGAAAATGAGACTGTGGGTGTGATGGCCCATAAAACAGTAAGTCTTCTCGCGTATTTTGGATTTACGTCGTTTTTCATGAATTGGTAAGCAAGGCAGTCACTGGGGTTTGGTATTCCGGATATACTCTGAAAAACACCGCCGACAATTTATTAAAAAATATCTTGCGCACGGACCTTGCTCAGAGGCCGAATAGTCCATCCATATCAATATATAGATATGGTTGCTTGCATAATAAAAATATTTCACCCAACACTCCCCTGTTTTTCTTCTACTGTCACTTCCACAACCCACAAGTGGATATTTAAGCCTTGCAACGGGAATCCGTTGGTTTACCGACACAACACAATCATTCGGGAGATATTTAGCTAACTACTTGTCACGTGATCGGGTGTAGCTCGAGTCTGTACAGAAAGCTGGGCTTTTATTTACAACTGTGTGGATAAAGTCGGACAATCGGTAAAGTCGAATCATGGCTGGGATAATAACAAAACTACAAAGCTCTATAGGAGACTATACATTAGAAGATTTCAAACAGTTCTGTAAGGATAATGTTAACGTGAGGAGTGGTTTAGTATTTGGTGTTTGTATTGGAATATGGTGGCTGATGAGAAAACCCCGAGGGATCCCCCCGGGTCCAAAGTTCACGTTACCTTTAATAGGAGATCTGTTGTTTCTCGGCAAAGGTGACATTAACGTCATCTTGAGAAGAATGAGAAAGAAATATGGTGATATATTTAGTATGTATTTTGGGCCCAGATTAGTCATAGTTTTAAATGGTTATGATAAAATAAAAGAAGCCTTGGTGAAAAATGGAGATTTGTTTTCTGATCGACCGACTTTATTTGTAAGCGAGATGATTGGTAAGCGACGAGGTAAGATTGATATATGGAGTTATCACCCTTTAACTTTGAGAAGCGGCGTAAAGCCGCTGTGCAACTCTAATCTTAAATGAACCCCCCAAAAAACATAACAATGGTTGTCTTAAAGGGGAAGACCAACCATTTTCAACAAGGTTTCCATAAATCTTAAATATATATTCATATATAATACCCTCTGTAAAACAAGCGAAAATGTTTTTGTAACCGAGAAATTAATTTTTATTAAAACGATCGTGACGTAGTAAGTCGTAGTTGGGTCAACACGCTCACTGGTCTGTATATGTAAGCATACAGATTTGGCATAAGTTTACTGTTGTATTTTGTTCACCCGTCGTCCTTTGGCCACAAATCTGATCAAATGGGCTGTTTATTGTGATATTATAAGCACGAATTTATGGGGTTTTTTTTAACGTTTAGTACACAAAGCTGTCACGTAAATTCACGTATACTGGACAATACGCTGTGGCCCAATTCACGCCACATGGTTAATTGTTTACATCACGTGGTTTGTTTGACAACTTGCAAGTGGCATGTATTTCGTCTGCTTCGATGTTTTTGTGCTTACTGACAGTGTTTTTCAACATAAACAGACCAAACGTGAGACATATAATATAGTGCATTTTGGCACATAATGTAGACGTGAACGACTTTCCCGATTTTTTTCTTCCATTTCCTCTAGAGAATGGATGGACTCGACACTATACGGCATTACGTAGACCCAGAGAAGCGATATCTTTTTACACTTATATTCCGATACGCTCTGACGTTGACATACTTTGGAAATTTATATAATTATTTGTATATATATGTGCCACAAGTCCGTAGAAATAAATACACTGTTTTAGCAGACTCAGCACGCACAAAAACATTCAAGCAGACGAAATATCGCTCACTTGCCGGGTGTCAATTAACCACGCGATGTAAATAATTAGCCGTGTGGCGTGAATTGGTCCACAACGTATTGTTCAGTATGAGTGACTGTACGCGTTGGATTTGTGTATTAAAGGTTTTAAAAAAAAAATACCCATAATTCCATATTTATAATATCCAAATAATCAGTCCCTATGATCTGTTTCTTATCCAAACGACGACGCCTGAACAAAATACAGCAGCAAATTTATACCACATCTGTATGCTTACTATAGAGACCGGTGAGCGTGTTGAACCAACTACATCACTTTCGGTTTTAAAACCTTTCTTTTTTGCCTTACAGAGGGGATTATTTATCAATATATATTTGAGATTTATGGAAACATTGTTAAAAATCGTTGGTAAATGTGTATTAAATGCCGATCGGTTATACACACCTGTTCAGTCATCATTCACGTGTGTCCGGGAAGGCGAGTACGGTACTTAAGAACGAGCTGGTTTCTTTTATGTAGATTTCAGAGTGGGGATGCGGTGATGTTTTGGGCCCTTGGGGCGGGGGGGGGGGGCAGCGCCTTGAGAGTTTCACTAGTTGAACTTACTAGTATTTCCAATACATATTTATCTCGCAATACTTATTGTTCAATTGTCAACAATATATCGAAATAATATGAATGGGGAATGCTGTCGCTTTTTTAAACAGGAACTGGTTCTATACACTTGGTTATCCTTGTTGAGTACGATCGGAATTCGGAATGAACCTTGGTTTGCCTCGGATTCCACATCATACCGATTTTTTTTAAAAGACGTCATAATTGCAAGGTGGCTGCGATGATGTTCCTGGCTATATTGCCGATAAATTAAACAACTGGTTCATAGTTCTGTCATACTTTTTTTTAATTTACATGTATTCATTTTCACATTCTGTTTTAAGGAATAGTGTCATCATCTGGTCAACTGTGGAAAGATCAAAGAAAATTTGCTCTAGAAACTTTAAGAGAATTTGGTTTTGGAAGAACGATACTTGAAGACAAAATTCATGAAGAAATTGAAGTTTTCATTGAAGTTATTAGAAAACATAATGGCAGACAGTTCGATATGTTCCGATCAACCCAGTCCGCCATCTCGAATATCATTTCCTCGTTAGTTTATGGACAAAGATTTGAATACGACGATCCGTTATTTAACGAATTTCTGGAAAGAGTGGAAGAAAATTTTAACAATCTAGGAAATACCGGGCTTATAAACTTTTTGCCCGTTATTAGATTTTTACCCGGAGACTTTTTTAAGTTCAAAAGAACACTTGCTAATGTTGCTTTTGCCGAGGATGACATAATTCGACCATCAATAGCTGAACACAAGAGGAACTTTGATCCTCACCATACTGATGATTATATTGGCAGCTATATAAAAGCGATGAAACGGGCCGAGGAAACTGGAGAGCAGTCGAACCTGGACGGTAAGTTGAGAATTAAACTGGACAGTTGGTAAGTTAAGACTAGAACTGTGAGGCTTGCCATGAATATCTCTACTATTCTTGTGATATTGAGAACTCCGGTTTCGTGACAAGACTGAAAGAATGTATTCTTGAGCTCCGGGATGTTACATTATGGGACAAGATTGAAAGAGCACGTCCTTGAGCTCTTGGGTGTTAAATTACGAGACGGATTGGGGATTGCGGTTCTTGCCTGGTCAAAGTTTAATTGTGGTTGTACTCTATTGACACCTCCTTACTGGTCAAGGATTTGACGACCTGCTGGAATTATTTGATTGGTCACAGTTACGCATGGGACAAAACACCCATGTCGTAAAATTCTATTCATCCCAAAATCCCAATTTGGTTTTAAATGATATGAAATGAAATTGGGTTTAACGTCCTATTTTCCTGAACCAATCGGACTAATGAGGACGAACATACGTCATAGAGTAAACTGTGGGGGTACTTGTTCTCGGGCAGCATCGCTTTGGCTAGAAATGGTTCCACTACCGATGTCTTCCATCTTGCTCCAGCCACAGTAGTGGACCGTCCTAAGGTCTTCCTTTGAGTAAGTTTTGTAACATAATTACTTATTTCCATGCAAACTGTGAAGATATATGTTGACAATTTTGCAATTGAACCTAATTTCACATTCTCAAAGCCTCGAATAGTGTATCAATTGCAGCCGTAGATAAGAATTATCACGGCTAAAAATTGTAGCTACGCTACGGCCTATTCGTTAGTTCAAATTGTTCTACGTACATGCCAACGTGTTGACAGGAAGGAACTCGTCTTTTTGTCTCATCCGAACGACTAGGCACTGTTCCATGTCAGACCAGTACCTTAACCACCGACCCACATTTGGTTTTAAAGTGTCCTCTCTTTTTGATTAAACTCAGTATAGATGCCGTTAAAGGTCACACCTCCAGATGCCCAAATTTCAACGAAAATAAAATGTATAAGTTGAACCTTCTATTTTCAGAGAATAATTTAATCAAATCAATCGGAGATCTGTTTGTAGCTGGCACAGAAACAACATCAACAACTATTCTATGGACGATTCTCTACCTGCTTCATAATCCAAACATACAAGCAAGGTGTTACAAAGAGATTCAAGATGTCGTTGGTTCAGGTCGCCTACCTTCTATGAAAGATAAACCTTCTATGCCATATAATGAAGCGGTGTTATTAGAGGTTTTAAGAAAAGCCAACATCGCCGTAAATGGCGTTCCCCACACTGTTAGTGAAGACACGATTTTTCACGGTTACGTCATACCTAAAGATGCCATCATTCTACCAAACCTAGATTCCGTTCTGTCAGATGATAAAATTTGGGGTGATGCTGGCGTGTTTCGTCCCGAACGATTTATAGATTCATTGGGAAAGGTCAAGAAACAAGAAGAGTTTATTCCCTTCTCTATAGGTAAAGTCTTATCTCCCTCTTCATTCCGCAATTGTTGTTCGAATTGATACATTTTTTACTTTTCAGAGCATGACATTGAAGATACGAAATGGACGTTCGTTGTTACCATATTTGTATTGTCAAAAAACGTATGCCTCGAGGGAAAATCCCCTTTAATGTAGATTTGACCTATCATAATCTATTTTTCAGGAAGAAGAGTATGTCTTGGAGAATCCTTGGCTAAAATGGAATTATTTTTATTTATGACAACCTTGATACAAAGATTTGAATTTAAACCAGTAGAACCTGATAATTTACCAACATTAAAGGGTGTTTTTGGAATCACGCATGCTCCAACCAAATACGACGTTAGAGCTGTACCTAGATGTTAAAACTCTAATCTTAAAATAAATCGAGACAATTTCATTCATCTTATATTTCATGATATGTACTATTCAAAAAAGGTAGGGGATATTGACATGCAAATACCTACGCAGGTTGTGATATGATAAATAGTCATGGACAGTTGACATGCTTTGAGAGTATGTTCACAGATGAAGAACTTATCGCCACAACAGAACCACTGAGCTGCACATGCGACACGCAATAGCGCCATGCACGTGGGAGGGGTTCATTGTCAAATTTGACACTTCAAGGAAGGGTTGATGAAAACTGCCGCGGGCTGGTTTATGTATCCATGTTAGCATTCCTATCGGCTCTTGTATAAGATTTACTTCTTAGCGTATCTTTGCTTTAGTGTGTTACGTTTAATTTGATCGGGACACGTGTTCGTCGACGTCAACCGACAACACTGCAAGAATTGGCCGTGTCACTGCAAGGGGAATGGGCCAGATTGCCCCAAATCGTGATTGGACGGTTGATTAGGAGCATGCCTCGACGAATTGCTGAATGTCTAAGGATTGGTGGAGCAATTACTCATTATTAAGACAAAGATCAAAACCGTCTATTGTCACTTTTGACGGTGTGTCTCTTTGCGAGTGAAATGGGGCCTTCAGATAAGCCGCCCATATGAACTGTTTATATTCATGTGTACGCGACTGGCCTGTTATTAACATACACTGGTTACCTCTAATAAAAACAGCAGTGCATTTCCGCAGTTTTGTATTGTTTCTGAATATCCCCTACTTTTTTTTGAAAAGTATGTATAATTTCCGCTTCGAGATTAGAGATAAGTCTGCATTAGCTGAATGTGTATTGCTATTACATGAATAATGCTTCTTTAATTATAGAGATAAGTACAATATTAATTTAAACTTGTTTACAATAACTCTTGATAATTCTTGTAGATTAGATATGTCTAGTATTATTAAGAACATGTATTTCTAATAATTGAATGTCTATGTTAAAAGAAATTTGTGTATGTTAGGGATAAGTCTAGTGTTAACAAGAATGTGTATTTATGTTAAAGGACCATATTGGTGCCAGTCATTATCACATATGTTATAGAGCTGGTTAAACACATTCCAAATATAATTTTAACACAGAGATCATTGCTACGATAGCTGAGTAATACAGGTTTCCTGAATCGGAAGTGACGAACGCCAAAGGAAAACACGAGTAATCCCTCTATATAACTGACTGATGTGACGAGTGATAACAGATACACGGCCGAATTTCTGCTCACTAATAATTCCTTCCAAGACCAAAAGTTGCTATATGGGACTGTAAGAGGATACCTGACAATTCAATAAAGTAATTGAATGTCATATAAGAGAACACGATCAAAATAGAAATAGTCCGTACATTCCCTTGTTTATATTCATTTTACACCTTATAAAACATGGTATGCACGGATTTTTTCTGTTTTTCTTTCGTAGCAATGATCTCTGTGTTTCTTTCGTAGCAATGATCTCTGTGTTCTTTTACATGCACAGCAACGCCATGGCGTACATCCTGCACCACGCTGAAAAAATCACAAAAAAAGAGCCCACGACTTTCCGTTTAGCGGGCCTAGTCCTGTCCTTACTGACGGGCCCCATAGATTTAATACACAAGGCAGCCAAATAACTCAAATAAAATACGGCGATACATGCTCACGCCATCGATTGTTCCAAAATAATAAGTTTTATATGCAACTCAAGTATGTATCCGTCTAACAATATCGCATTTGATATTTGTTTATGTTCCAACTTAATCAACCAAATAAGACGCAGACTTCTACTTCATCAGGGGGGAGGGGGATGGATGGCCGAATGGTTGGCACGCGCGCGCTGTATCATAAGGCCTGTCATTGAGTCAGCTGGCGTGGTTTCAAATCCCCGGTTGTACGTGACAAGGAGTAGAGCCTCCTGTTCAACCTCGTGGGTTTTCTCCGGGTCCACCGATTTCCTCCCACTGCTAATGAACCCTACGCGCAAGCGAATTATTGAAATAAAATTAAACCATATGTTAGTTCCGAAATGACCTAGTTTGTATCGAGTGGACGTTAAATCCCATTTCTCTTTCTCTTTCTTTCTCTCTACTTCATCAGATTCCTGTCCATCACTGTATGTTTATAAAAAAAAACATGTACTTTTTAAACACGTGGTTGTGTTAAAACACAATATGAATTGAGCTGAATAGCACGAACACATCTTTGTTTAAAAATAGTGAATAATTTCATTATGTAAACAGTTTCAAAGTGTCTTGTTATGATTGCATCTATCTCAAAGACTCACATTTGGGCTGTTATTAGTTTTTCGCCTCCCTAAGCAAACAAACCTTTTCATCATAATATTGACATTCAAAGCCATGTTTGCAGCATGCAGAAAATAAATGAATCAAACAAACTATATGTCATTTGGTAAAAAGAAAAATATATATGTATAGTTTGTAGATACTTGAGTGGGGGACTGGGGCGGGATGGGGTATATCTTATTCTAAAAACGAAATGAAATGGAGTTTAAGTCCTACTGTTCTGCTCTGAACTGGGCTAATGAAGACGGGCATACGCCATACAGCCACTACGGCCTAGTCTTATATCGAATTCCAACTGCCAAGGGATCTTTTACATGCACGCCAACGGGACCTTGGTTTTTCGTCCCATCCGAACGACTAGACAACTGTCCTTGTCAGACCCTCCGTCATGCGTCACTGACAAGGGGGAACCACGCCGAAAAATCTGGATGACCTTTATCGGCCAATGCAGGGATCGTACACCCGACCTCCAGGCTATCGAGCCAGCGTCTTGCCCACTTAACCACCGTGACCCCCTATTCTGAAAACGCTTCCGTATAATGAAGCTATGCCGCAGATAACGATATTTTATTTCCATTTCATGTCTTTTTCACATGATATGTCGATACTGTGTGCGTAAAATGTTTCATGTGGGCCAAAACTTATTTATAAATCTGGTATTCTTTATTGCCCCCCCCCCCCCCGCCTTTTGAAGAAAGCAGCTGACTATTAAAATGGGTCAGTCCGTCTGTCCGTCACGCTTTTTGGCACACAGTAACTCTCCTTCTAATTGAGGTAGAATGTTTATTCGGCGAATGCCTTGATGAAGTTTGAAGATGGACATTTTCTGCTTAGGCTATGCAGAGATAAGCAATTTTATTGGTTGATGCTTTGGAAGACGATAACTTTGGTTCTAATTAAGTGAGAGTGATCAAACAGAGTGTATAGTTTCATTACATCAATACCTTGACTAAGTTCGATAATGAGCATGTTCTGTTTAGGGTAAGCAGAGCGATAAGCAATTTGATTGGTCAAGACTTTGCTTCTAATTGAGTGAGAGTGTTGAAATTTTGTGTATAGTTTCATTACATCAATACATCGACTAACTTCGGTATGGACATTTTCTGCTTAGGCTAAGCAGATACTTCAATTTTGTGGTTGAGACTTTGAAAATAACGCTCCTTCTAATTCAGGTAGAATGTTCAAACTTGGTGAAGGTGTCTATTGGGTGACTGATTTCAATCGTGAACATTTTATGATTATATTAAGAAACCAGAAGACTCGGAGAAAACCAACGAGGTTGGACAGGCGACACTACACGAAGCAACGCCACTTGACTCAATGACATACTTTATAATGCAACACGCACGCCTTAACTATCCCCCCCCCCTCTCTCTATCGATAGCGCGTACCCCGTCAATGGCATGCACCCCACCGCCCCCTTACGAAAATACTGCATACTGTGCATAGCAAACGTGAAAATATTGTTAACGTATTAGTCATTATTTGCATGAGCAACCACGTAAAACAGCACAACCAACAAAAGTGCATCTAACATTGGATATTATGCGTATCATGTACACCATGAGTGTAATGCACGTGTGTATTATACGTCATTTGTCTATAGATATCAGCTTAAAGATGCATTATGTGAAAGCTAATTCTCCTATTGTCGGCCCTTTATTCTGACCTCAAATGTTATATAAGTTATTATTTAGACATGTATTCACATGGAAAGCCCATGACTTGGATACTAAGTGGATTAAAAAGGATCTGCCATATATCTTCGTTAAATTCATAATTTTGCTCAGAATAAAGTAATTTGATATATCCAATATATGCATTTTTCGTTAGCTATTTTTAAACTTTATAGTCAGAATTGTCACCTCTATCTAAATCTTACATAATGCGTCTCTAACCTTGCAATGTGCTATGGCTGAATAACTGTGAACGTATTGTACGACGCCTGAAGCGGATCGTTTTGTGTGAATCGTTTTCACCGCATCACAGGACGTATATCCATGGACTTCTTAAATAAACACAAACTGGCATTGCTCAAGTGGCCAGTCCCCATTGTTATATCTCACCCGTCCAGCGTCTGTGGGGAATTATTGGGCTTCATAACTCCTAGAGTGCATTAACTGCATATTCTCCGTCAACTGGAAACAGTAATGCAACGAGGGTGGATAAGAATGACACAGGCCGCCATTCAGCGACTTATCTACTGTACTTTGTATGGCTGCTAGAGGTGGGCTATTTTACGTTCTGGAAGGTATTCTATCTTCTTGAACTGTCCCAAGGAAACGGATTTAATGTCCAAACAACTATGGCCGGTACAGGAAAGTCAGTATGAAATCCTACAGATAAAATCATTTCATGTTCAATTTGTCCATAGAGCCGTCAAACCATTGAAGAAAGTCGATACCTGATGTAGCCGCCAACAGTCTGGATATCCTGTTGAACTCTGCTCATCATTGACTGGTGTAGTGCCTGATCCACATCGTCAGCATTCTGCACTGGTGGACCGCTCTGATGGATTTTACGCCGCAAGAATGTCCTAGATATGCTCAATTGGATTCAGGTCATGGTTACTGGGTGGCCAAGGTAGACTAGCTATGACCTCCTGTGGCACTGCCACGCTGTCTAGGACCCCTCTTTGGTACCACTGGCCGTTCAGATTATTAACAGTTCTGAAGGATATGTGGCGGTGAGGTAACCATTACCATTCCAACACAGTGCTTGGCGCAAAAGAATGACATCACACGAGTCTCAAAAGAGCTATATCATCCCTTGCTGTCTACTAAAACATTGACAGACGTGAAAACGAAAACATTGGCGCAACGCATGCAAACGACCCAGGAAAGCATCGCATTGTCCTTGGCAAGTCACTGACCACCGAGAAGAAATATTATAGATAATAATCAGGATTCGATGATTATTTTTGTATCATATATTCATGTATTTCACAGACAAAAGGAGCTCTTTATTGCATAAACCAGACATTGCCATGCATTAAAGTTGCAATTTCATATTTTTAAGTTATATTTTTAAAATTTATTAAAATAAAGCCTTAAAATAGATGGTATCTATAAACAGTCCGACCTTGTTAAAGAATAATCCTATTAATCCTATAATTCACTATTGCCAGTTGAGAAATTGGCAAAAATATCATGTTCATCTTCAAATTCAAACGTTTGAAGATAGCTACTCCATGGTGGAGAATAGAAAACAAGGGAGGTAATTGTGAGGTAATTGTGTTATTATTTCCGGTGTAAATGAGTTTTAAGTGTGAGAATGACACCTATGATCGTATAATAGTGAGTTGACAACCTATTGAGCAAAAGACATAGAAATAATTATGTTTTGACTTTCTTAGAAAATATGAAATTGTAACTTTCAAATTTCTCACAATATCTCAAGTTATATTTTCAGTGCAGCCGCTCATCGCGGTAAGGCTCTCACTTCGTATTGGGTAGGAGAATGTGCGAGTCCCAGAATACCCTTTAAAGTCGGTAAATTATTAGGATCTACTGGTTTGAATTCAAATCTTTGTATCAAGGTTGTCATGAATAAAAATAACTCCATTTTAGCCAAAGATTCTCCAAGGCAGATTCTTCTTCCTGAAATATAGTAAAGTATCTTCTTGTATAAAGAAATGCGATTGTCGATTGGATAGGGCAATAAACTCTTAACTACATAATTGTTCTTACCTGGAAACTATTTCTAACGACGAGATCTATAATTTTAGGTCAACTTTTACTGAGGAATGTGCCATACACATGATATTTGGACATATAGTAGGAATATCCAGATTGAGATGTCTCCGGAATTATACATAAATAAATAAATGTATACATAAATAAATACATAACAGACTTCCTCCATACCGATGCCATACTGTATACATACCTAGATCCGTTTATAGTAGGAACCCTTGTGATTAACCGTGTATACAGAACAGACAGTCTATTTTAATTTTAAGATATAAATGTACGTGAGAGAAAGAGAAATGGGATTTAACGTCCACTCAACACAAACTAGGTCATTTCGGGACTAACATATGGTTTAATTTTATTTACATAATTCGCTTGCGCGTAGGGGTCTTTAGCAGTGGGAGGAAACCGGAGGACCCGGAGAAAATCCACGAGGTTGGACAGGCGACCCTACTCCTTGTCACGTACAACCGGGGATTCGAAACCACGCCAGTCGACTCAATGACAGCTTTATGATACAGCGCGCACGCTAAGTATTCAGCCATCCACCCCCCCCCCATAAATGTACGTAACATGTGCTTGTAAATATTGACGTAAATAAAAGTGTATTATTATTTTCAAAACAAAAGATAAAAAGGAATATCCAGTGCCCGAATTGTGACATATCTGTATTTTAGTTACAAAAATATGACTAGAAACTGGTATATATACTATTTAAAAAAAGTAGGGGATATTTGATTTTTAAGTGTTATTAAAGTCACCTAATGAAACTGACGAAGAAACAAATGACAAAATGAAATGAAGTTCACATTCATCGATTTATTCCAAATGATCGTTAGACTAAGTAAGGCACAGACTGACCATTATAAGGGTAAAATGATACCAGGGGTCAAACAGCAAAGTTACCACAGCATCACAACCAAGTCAGTAACGGGTAAATCCTCCTCTGTTTGCCAAACAAGCATTGATTCGACGTGGCATACTCCTAATGAGACGTCTAAGGTCATTTTGGTCCAGATTGTCCCATTCCTGTTGCAACGCAGCAGCAAGTTCTTGGACATTGGCAGGACGTTGTTGACGTTGACGTAACCTCTGTCCAAGCATGTCCCAGACATGCTCGATGGGGGAAAGGTCGGGACTCAGTGCTGGCCAAGGTAATGTGGTGATGTTCTGTTGTTGGAGGTAACCTGTAACGATCCTGGCCCTGTGACATCTTGCGTTGTCATCCTGGAAGATGAAACGGCGGCCATGACGTCGTGCGAACGGCACAACATGGACTGCCAAGATGTTGTCCCGGTATTACTGGCCTGTAACACGCCCTGCAACAACATGTAAAGCCGTTCTTCCAGCAACAGTGATGCCTCCCCACACCATAACAGAACCACCCCCAAATCGATCATGTCTGATGACGTTAACGTCTTGGAAGCGCTCGTTTCGACGACGCCACACCCTCCTACGTCTGTCCAAAAAATCAACAGTGAACCTTGACTCATCTGAAAACATCACATTGCTCCAGCGTCGATTATCCCAGTGTTGACGATCCCTACACCAACGACGTCTTGCCTGAATGTGATGATCTCTCAAACAAGGGATCACGCGAGGACGTCGGGCGCGAAGGTGACCCCTATGCAGTCGATTCCGAATCGTCTGGCCACTCACTCTCACACCAGTGTCTGTTTGAAGACGAGCGCTGATCTGATTTGCTGTGACGACACGATTTCTCAAGGCCAAGGTACGGATAAATCGATCCTGGGCTTGAGTTGTCGCCCTTGGTCGACCTGAGCGTGGTCTGTCCTGTACAGATTGTGTATCACGGTATCTGGACCATAGCCTGCTTATGACAGACTGAGAAACATTCATCGTCCGCGCCACAACCGCCTGTGTTGTGCCGATCTGTAGCATGCCAAGGGCACGTAACCTCTCATTTTGGGTAAGCCGACGCATATCAAAATTTGTTTTCTGGTCACTAAAACGATTAAACTGATGTTTCCACCCTGGAATTCAATGCCACAATGACTGTAACATTCAAAGTCAGAGTCGTGCAAATCTTGGGTTGGACCCCCATGATGATCCCAAGCATCACCTGTATTCCATGCGGTAGCTATTGGTGCGTTTGGGCGTCACATGTAACTGGAAATGTTTCTTCTGTTAGGTTCTATAGTGACTTTTTTCGTAGTCATTTGCATATTTTAGTATTATGCCCCCAAAATCAAATATCCCCTACTTTTTTTGAATAGTATATATATAAAAGAGTGTCGTCATACCTAGAGAAAAGGGAATGAATTCTTCTCTTTTTACAAGTTGTCCATTTTCATCAAGGAATCGTTCAGGTCGAAAAACGCCGGCGTCACCCCATACTCCGTCATCTGCCAATACCGAGTCGATATTTCCAAACACCACTGTGTGCTTTGGAATAACATAACCATGAAATATAACATCCTTACCAACAGTGTGTGGAAGCCCAACTATAGCGATGTTAGCAATTCTCAAAACTTCCAGCAGAACAGCTTGGGTATACGGCATAGATGACCTGTCTTTCATAGAGGGTAGACGACCTGAACCAACGACATCTTGAATCTCTTTATAACATTTGGCTTGTACGCTTGGATTATGAAGTAAGTAGAGAATCGTCCATAGAATAGTTGTTGATGTTGTTTCTGTACCAGCTACAAACAGATCTCCGATTGATTTGATTAAATTATCCTCTGAAAATAGAAGATTAAATTATATGTTTTATTTTATTTCATGTGACCCGCCCTTAACTTGTCCGAAACAAAAACTTGGATATTGACCAAATTCGCTAAGGATCCTTTATGTCTTCAAGAATCGTAATGTGTCGCGATGAAAAAAACGACAACAATCGGCTTCATTCTCTTATAGTTCTAAACTACTGAATGAAAGATCGTGGAACGATGACAATGGGTTTCCTCAATGACCATAATGCTTCACAACAAATTTGAAAGAAAACAAACTCAGTTTAAAACTTTTGACGCAGAAATAACTGAAATGTGGGCGTATAAAAAGAAGGTCTTTAAGAACTTGACATGACAATTGGTGCAATTAAGACCATTAAAAGCTGCATGCATTTACGTTTCAAAGTTTTCCTGGCTGCACCTTTTCCGACTATCCGGTGTTGCTTTTACATAATTTTGTTGATGAGTTACGATATTTTTTAGACTGATTGGAATGATTGCTAAGCGAATCTTATCCGTTGTTTTTAGAAAGAGAAGGTATGATAAATGTCACTATTCCACAGATAAATGGGGTGAACGTTTGTACTTCAGAACCCAATGTCAAGGTTTATTTGTAAATATACGCCAAGGACTGTTAGATATGCAAATTGCCCAACAGATAAAGAGTGATATTATGTGATTGTGCCTTTACTTACTATCTATGGTGGATTCCTCGCCTGATTTTTCTACGCGTTTCATTTCTTTAATATAGCTGCTGATAAAATCATTGGTGTTGTTCTCGTCATAATTCTTCAGATGATCATTAACAGAAGGTTCAATTAAATTCATCTCTTGTGTTTGATTATTACGAATCGTTCTCTTAAATTTGAAAAAATCACCAGGTAAGAATCGGAGCACCGGTAAGAAATTTAGTAAACTTGAAGACCCCGCCACAGCAAAATTCTCGTCCACTCTCTCTACAAAATCTATAAATACCGGATCACCATAATCAAATCTTTGACCATAAACTATAGATGAAATGACGTTGGAAACAGAAGTTTGGGTCAATCGTTGGATATTAAACGCTTTACCATTATGTTTTCCAATGACTTCAACATAATAACCAATTTCTTCCAATATTTTGTCCTCGAGTACTGTTCTCCCGAAACCAAATTCTCTTAATGTTTCCAGAGCAAATTTTCTTTGTTCTTTCCACAGCTGACCCGAAGAAAATACAATACCTGAAAAACACAAATCTGGCATTTACAAATTTTAAACAAACAATCTAACATTGAGGCTGATGCCCCATCTACAAATCTCAAATTAAATATAGATGACACATACTAATTGATTGCACAAAGTACAAAATGATCATGAACGATTTTAGTCACGGTACTAATGTAATAAAACTATACACACGGGTTCGCAAGTCGCACTCAATTAGAATCGAACCCCAAAGTCTCGACTAATCAAATTTCTTAAAGATATGCTTAACCTGAGCGGAAAATGTCTGTTATCGACCTTAGTCAAGGTATTGGGTCAGCACTCTCGCTTAATCTCTACTTAACATAAATTACTCATCATTGAACTCAGTCAAAGCATTCACATATAATAGTAACCTACACCAAGTTTGATCATTCTGCAAACGGACGAACCCATTTAATAGTCTAATGCTTAACTTCAGAAGTCGGAGCCACGGTGGCTCAGTAGGTAGGACGTTGACTCGCTATCCCAGAGGTCTTGTGTTCGATCCCTGCGTTGCCCGAGAAAGTTCATCGGAATTTCCGGGGTGGTTCCCACTTATCAATGGTGTAGGACGGAGGGGCTGGCAAGTAACAATGTATAGTCGTTCGAATCGAACAAAAAACTAAGGTCCCGAGTACACATTGGCGTGTACGTAAAAGAACCCTTAACAGTTGGAATTCGAAATAAGCGTAGGCCATAGCGCCGCTTTCCGGACAAAATTTCCCTCATGGCACACCGCATGGCGTATGCCCGTCTTCATTAGCTCAGTAGGGCGTTTCATTTCATTTCCGTCTTCAGAAAAGTAAGACGTTAAACCTCATTTCATACAGTGTTACTTTAGTATTAAAAGCCAATGATAAAGGTTGTAAGCTTTTAAGTAAAATTGAGTCCGGTAAAAATAAAACGAAACAAGCAAAACGAATTGAAAAGCACGATTAATTTGATGAATTATTAGCATTTTTGGTCGCATGAAATTGACAAATTTTCAAATTGAAATTATGCTTCTATCGAATTTAGCCATATTTTTATATATAAGGATTTAAGGTCTTCGTGGACTCTTGCATTGTTAACCAGTATCATTGGGCTCCCGAGCGTATCACATTTACTCAATAACAGGTAAGCCGCAGTGGACCACCCAGTGGACATAGAATAAAGAACAGCATGAGATTGTATAGTTCGTTAAAGGGACATTATGGGACTAAATCACAAAAACTGCGTAAATTCAAGACTTTCACAATAGCCTGCCAAGGGATAACGGATAGTCGTTCGGATAGTAAGGCAGACCTAGGTCTCATGTACATAATGGCGTACACGTAAAAGACCCCCCTGACAATATAAGAGTAGGCCATAGCGCCGCTATCTGGGCAGTGTCCCTCATAGTACACTGCATAGCGTATGCCTGTCTTCATTAGCCCTGTCGGGGCAGAACAGTAGGACGTTAACCCCATTTCATTTCTTTTAAATTTCCTACTTTCTATGGGCATTGACATTTCTTAATAGAATTTCAACTTTGATGGGTTATTTTTGTGAACGCCCGTGCACGCCAATGTGTACATAGGAGCTTGGGGAACTTACTTGACCAACACTAAAATCAGTGTTTATTATCCTATATAGAGAGAAATGGGGTTTAACGTCCATTCAACACAGACCATGGCATTACGGGACTAACACACGGTTCAATTTAATTTCAATAATTCGTTTGCAGTTTTGAAAGGAGCGTGGCCGACAACCCGACATCACGACATTTTAACCCGACAATACGACATTTTCATTCGACATCACAATAAAAATGTCGCGAACTAAAGTCGTATTGTCGGGTTAAAATGACGTGCTGTTGAGTTGTCCCCTTATGAAGATCGAAATCACAACATTGTAGAGAAGTCATATCTCACGTACTCATGTTAAAATGTTTGAGTGGTTGAGTCATAAAAAAGATTTATAAAATCAAAACAGAGATGATTTTAGGTGAACATAGAATATCATGTTTATCACTTGTGTTGGAAAATTTCTATTGCATCATTTGGCTTAGTAACCAATCATCATAATTAATTACGTACTATTTGTCCAATTAAATAATTGACAGAGCTGTCTCGAGGACACTGTCAATGTTATAAGAGTGGTTTAGGTCCTATAGATTTTAGACATCATGAAGATTCCTCAGTGTTAGACAGGTGCTAAATTCGGAAGAAACCGCCGAGGTTCAAGAGACACCAGCTGAGATGGAGTAGACCCCAATGATTTGTAGGTGAGCCATATGATGTTGGCAGTAAACTTGATCTGCAAATTAGTGTAATATATTATGCATTGTAGCCATGTTATCCAGCTTGATATAAAAAGTAGAAGCGAACTGATGCATTGTTATTCCTGGAAGATAAACGTCTTAAAAGAAGAAAATACACAACGTGAAAAGGAATCCAAAGAAGAGAATTACAACTACTAAACCATCACAAGGCTGTGTAGCCGAAGAGATTATGCGTCACATGTTGGACGTGGGGAGTTTTGCTGCTGTCTTTCCACATCTAACCAGCTACTCATAGTACTACATAGTACTACAAACAATCAGCTACCTCAGACAATCCTTATATATCGATAAATTAATGTTGACAGGGGTGGGTGTTATAAAACAAATGGAATTTATTGCATGCAAATGTTATTTAACACCTCCAATTCATGAAATTGATTAAAACATCCTTATCATGTTATGACCCATAGGTGGTCGAAATTGGCACTGGCTTGATACGGCGAACAACCTCGTGGAAGTCATTAGTTACTTCTGGCCTGTATTATGTAATGTCCTTTGTATTGTAAAGAAATCTGTATTGAATGTTTAATCTGGTATATGTTGCAATATAGCCAGCTGCATAATCTCTTTGATCATCCTTTGTCTAGAAAGGGTATAAGCAGGAATCAAGAGGAGATTATTCAGTGGGCAGGCTATGGGCGCCTTGGGTTAAGGCTAGAACCAGGGGTCATGTAAGTTGGTTGGAATGGCGACCGCGCCGATCTCGCGTCCAGGCCAGAAGACCTGTGGTTAGCATGCTCAGGACTGGCGGAGCCGTCCAGGCTGAGTGCAGCCGAGCTATGACCAGGATTTTCTCAACACAAGTTAGCTTTAAGGAGTCGTTTAATTTCACGGAGTTTTCGTACTTTATATGCTTACAATATTAAAAGTATTATAGGCTTTTAAACCAAAGTTGTCATCATCCAGAACCGATTCAAAGAACGAATAGTTTAACAAGGGCCTGGGTCGTGATTATTAAATTACCAGAGAGGTACTTAACAATTTGTTTGCAAACTACAGCACGTATGCTTTAATAATGGCTCTTTATTATTGGAGCGGTTGTCACAATTTCACCTCGTAGATAATACGAGAGCCCGTTACCAAACTTATGAAATTCAAATTAAATTGCGTTTAATAACCTCCCACTGTTCTGCACCGACTGGTTTATCGAAGATGGACATGCGCCATACAGTGTTGTATTGGAAAATTGTGCTCTGACAGCAGCACTACGCCCAAATGTCGAGTGTTCTTTTATGTGCACGCCAATGGACTTTCGTTCCATCCGAACGGTTAATTGCTGTCCTTGCCAGAGCGTCTGTCCTGGACCACTGACAAGGGTAAATCACCCTGGTTATGAAATTCAATTCAAAATGTTTACCTTTTCTTTTTGAGAGTAAATCATTGATAAACATTGGCGGTCTGTTGGTAAATTCGTCGGCCCTTTTCACTAAGGCTTCTTTAATCAAATCATAACCATTGATGAAGATGAATAATTTCGGTCCAAAATAAACGCTAAATATATCTCCATATTTCTTCCTCAGTTGTCTTGTAGCAACTCGGACATCTCCTCCTCCTTCTAAAAATAACAAATCGCCTACGAAGGGGAGTGTAAATCTTGGACCTGGGGGGATTCCGCGAGGTTTTCTCGATAGCAGCCATATTCCAATACAAACACCCACCAGTAAAACGGTCCCCAAATTCATGTTAATTCCTTGTAACGTATCTTGAAATGGTTTTAAAAACCCAGCCATGACTAAACACTCACAACTTGTAACGCTTATGAATAAGGTATGGTTAAAACCGGGTCAGCTACAAAACCCAATATATTCAGTAACGTTATAACCCGTCCTTGACGTTTAGTGTATTTACTGAGTTACATTGAATGACTCAACAATTTAAATCATTGCACAATATCTAGGTCAAATAACGTATACGTCTTTGTATGAACTTTATTATAGACATTTATTGAAATATGACTTAATAATGGCCTACATGTCTGCACCAATGGGGGAGTGGTGTGTTTGTGGGAGGGGGGGGGCACAGTGTGTAATGAGGGAAACTACAGCATTCTAGCCTACTCTTCACCGAAATCCTATTGCCAATGGCCCTTTTCCTCGCACGCTATAAACCATTTAGCTTCAATACACCCAATATACACAAAAGATTCACATAAATCACAATACAAATGTATATCAATAATGACTTAACAATCTTAGTATATTTATTAAGTCCAATATTGATTTGAAAATTGTCTTCAATAATCCAAATGTGATCTGAAGGCGATCTCCTACTGCCGGATTGCAGAAATTGTGCTTTCTCGACTTACTCGTTTGGGTTTGTATATGATGACTCGTTCATTATGTCATTATCCTTATAATCCAACACATATATAAATAAACATATTATTAAGGATTACATAATATAATATAAATTTTAATTAGATATAAAAGGAAGTAATTGGAATATGTGACCCTAAATATTGCTCACCGAAATAAAAAATCATTGAAATATCGCTAACGGAAATAACTAACATTGAAATATTGCTAACCGAAATCCCTAACATTGAAATATTGCTCACAGACTGAATTAACGTTGAACTATTGTTGACGGAAATAACTAACATTGAAACAATATTGCTTACAGAATATACTAATATTAAATTTATTTCTCACGGAATTACCCAACATTGAAATATTGCGCCCCGAAATAACTAACATTGAAATATTGCTCCCCGAAATAACTAACATTGAAATATTGCTCATCGAAATACATGTAACTAATATTGAAATATTGCTCAACGAAATCTCTAGCATTGAAATATTGTTTACGGAAATAACTAACATTGAAATATTGCTGCCATAATATGCTAATTTTAAAACATTGCACACGGAAATATATCTCACCGAAATAATTTACAATGAAATATTGTTTAGAGAAACAGCTGACATTGTGTGAAATAGACGTTTACGGTTGGAATGGAATAATTGTTGGGTTATTATTTATTTAGAACTGATTGAAATATACGAAAAGTTCAGTTTCTGGATGTAAAGACAATGATACTGGATCCATACATGAAATGAACCGGAATACTATGACATTGATGAGAAATTTTGTCCTTGTCTATTCACTGGGCCTCTTATAAGATTATCGTTATATAACGTAAACATAAAAATTAGGACCTTTAAACATACATTATGCAAGAGCTATGTCTGCCTATTGTAGGTCTTTCTTTAGGCCTGAAATGCTATTCAAATTATTAATTAGTCATTATTTAACATATCTAGACCATAATCAACTCTCGATGTCATCGCTAGCCTGCGATATTTACTGGATTAGGATCCGATTTGCTGCTCAACATTCATTCATGATAAATCATGAAATGGATAATCGCGTCTATGTTCTTTTTTTATCTAGTAATGATGATCGTGGCAATTTTCAGCAAATACCCTTTACATTATCTAGTTTTTAACTATTATAGTGAGACCTGTTGTTGTTGATCTAATCTCCCATAATGTATCTTTAATGTATAAATAGGAATTATCATTCATTAGTTTGATGTAATGTATTTCATAGAAAACATATGACCTTTATTGTATAAATAGACATTATCATATATTAATTATTCTCACAATATCGTTCAAAGATGATTCATATCGTTCAAGTCCATCTCGGCACGGCTATCACTTCGTATTGGGTAGGAGAATGTGTGAGTCCCAGAATACCCTTTAATGTTGGTAAATTATTAGGATTTACTGGTTTAAATTCAAATCTTTGTATCAAGGTTGTCATAAATAAAAATAATTCCATTTTAGCCAAAGATTCTCCAAGACACACTCTTCTTCCTGAAATTAGAAATGTATCTTTTTTTTAATATTGATGATATGCAAAGTATGTCTTGTTGTTCGGAACGGACCAAAAATTGAGGTCCTTCCGTGTAAACGGAAATGAAATGAAATGAAATGGGGTTTAACGTCCTACTGTTCTGCTCCGAACTGGGCTAATGAAGACGGGCATACGTCATACAGTGTGCTATGAGGGAAATTTTGCCCAGACAGCAGCACTACGGTCTACTCTTATATCGAATTTCAGATGTCAAGGGATCTTTTACGCGCACGCCAATTTGTACATGGGACGTCGGTTTTTGTCCCATCCGAACGACTAGACAGTTGTCCTTGTCATGCCCTCCGTCCTGCATCACGCCGGAAAATCTGGATGAAAACTTTCTCGGCCAATGCAGAGATCGAACACCCGATCTCCAGACTAGCGAACCAGCGTCTTACCCACTCTTAGCCAGCGTGACGCCCCCCCCCCCCTCCACGTGTAAACGGTGTCGTGCATGAGTAACCACAGAAATAAAATGCGCAATATAAATTCTTTGTAAAAGAATGACTTTTTTTATACATAGTATTTTACTATGGGACGAAAATCCGACGTCCAGTGTTCTTTTACGTGTACAGCAATGTGTACACGGAACCTCGATTGTCCATCTCATCACGACTGAACACTGTTCCTTCTGAGGCCCTCCTGCTTGCACTATTGGCAAGGGAAAACCACGCCGGAACGTTCTGCCCACCGAGATCTCCAGGTTAGCAAACCACCATCATATTCACTGAGCCACCGTGGCTGCTGCACCATGAAATACGTGACATTTAGAAACAGTAATGTGCATAATTTTCTACCCAGCTACTTTGCTGACTACACAGATCCTATTTCGTTTTGGTTTTAATCAGATTGGCTACACTGCTGTTACGAATATGATAAAATATCAAGGAGCATCTTACCCATAGAAAAGGGAATGAATTCATCTCTTTTTACAAGTTGTCCATTTTCATCAAGGAATCTTTCAGGTCGAAAAACGCCGGCGTCACCCCATACACCGTCATCTGCCAATACCGAGTCGATATTTGCAAACACCACTGTGTGCTTTGGAATAACATAACCATTGAATATAACATCCTCATCAACAGTGTGTGGGGGTCCAGTTATAACAATGTTAGCTATTCGGAGAACTTCCTGCAGAACAGCTTGGATATATGGCATATTTGATCTGTCTTTCATAGAGGGTAAGCGACCTGAACCAACGACATCTTGGACCTCTTTGTAACATCTAGCTTGTATGTTTGGATGATTAAGGAAGTAGAGAATCGTCCATAAAATAGTTGTTGATGTTGTTTCTGTACCAGCTATAAAAAGATCTTTAATTGCTCTGTTTAAATTGGCCCCTGGGAATAGAAGATTAAATTATATGTTATTTAATAACCAAATAAAAACTAGCACGTGTTTACGATTACTTCAAAACAAAAAGGAGCCACTGTGATTAGGTTAGTAAGAAGCTGGCTCGCTAGTCTGGAGGTTGCGGTTTCGCTCCTGGTCTTTGCCAAGAACGTTCATCGGGATTTTCCGGCGTGGTTCCCCCTTGTCAGTGGCGCAGGACGGAGGGCCTGACAAGAACAGCCGATTGAATTCGATATCCGGGCAAAATTTCAATCATAGCACATTGTATCTCGTATGCCTGTCTTCCTTAGCCTAGGCGGAGCAGAACAGTAGAACGTTAAACCCCATTTCATTTTATTTCATTTCATCACAAAAATAGGGTCGGTCGATCAGGAAAAGCTTTTTTTTTGGGGGGGGGGGGGGGGTGGATAGAACTAAGTGCACTTAAAAATTAATCGTGTAGTAAACTTTCGATTACTTGCAATCTACAGCTTTTGTGATGTTATTTTAAATATCATAAGATTATCTTTTATTATTTGTCATTTCTCGCTTAATTGCTGAGTATGTTTCTATACAATAATGCCGATTCGTCCTGTTATAAATACAAATTATTCAAATTAACGACTAAAATAAAAAAAAATAAAAACATGTCATGAGTTTTAAATAGCAATGTTAAGTTGAACATGAGGAAAATAGTAATAATCCTCAATTTATATAGCGCAATAATCCTAAAACCAAATTTTTCAGAGATTTTCGTTAATGGTCGGGTGAAGACAATGGACAGTACATGACCTAAAACCGATCATTGGGGCACACCACACATCATAGGGAACTTTACAGATTTGACATCATCAACCTTGACACATTGTTGTCTGTTTTCTAGGTATGCTCGAAGCCAGCCTAAAACAGTGCCTCCAATCCCTTTTTGCCCCTTCAGAGCTTGGAGAAGATCTTCGGCAACTTGAGTGTCTAAGACAGACGATAAGTCTATGATATGAAAATAGCAAATAGAGAACTGAAATGGGGTTTAAGTCCTACTGTTCTGCTGCGACTGGCCTATTCTTATACGTGCACGCCAATGTATACACGGTTTTCCGTCCCACCCGAACGAGTAGACAGCTGTACTTGTCAGGCCCTCCGTCTTGCACCAATGACTAAGGTAAACCACGTCGGAAGATCCTGGTGTAGGGATCGAACACGCGACCTCCAGGCTAGTGAGCCAAAGTCGTACCCACTAAGCCACTGTGGCTCCACGGACGACGAGAGAGAGAGAGAGAGAGAGAGAGAGAGATGGCGGGGGAATGAATACGCATGGATCCAAAAGTAATCATTAGGTTTCGCGTATTATATGATTTTGTGCAAGGGAGCAGCAGTTGTTATTGATGTGCATCGGTCTGGCCACGATGAATTCAAATGAAACACGATCATGAACCCCAAAACACGCAGAGAGCACTTTATAATGCGACTCTAATGGAGAGAGAGAGAGAAAGAGAGAGAGAGAGAGAGAGAGAGATGGGCTTTAACGTCCACTTGACACAAACTAGGTCATTTTAGGACTAATATAAGGTTCAATTTTATTTCAATAATTCGCTTGCGGGTAGGGGTATTTAGCAGTGGGGGAAACCGGAAGACCCGGAGAAAACCCACGAGGTTGAACATGCGACCCTACTTTTTGTCACGTAAACCGGGTATAATCGAACCCACGCCAGTTGACTCAATGACAGACAATATGATACAGCGCGCACACCCTAACCATTCGACCATTTAACTCCCCAAGACTCTATTGGAGATATCATAGAATCAAAATCCATTCGACACAAACTAGGTCATTTCGGGAGTAATATATCTCCATATTTCTTCCTCAATTGTCTTGTAGCAACTCTGATATCTCCTCCTCCTCCTAGAAATAACAAATCGCCTACGAAGGGTAGTGTAAATCTTGGACCTGGAGGGATTCCGCGAGGTTTTCTCATTAGCTGCCATATTCCAATACAAACACCAAATACTAAAACAGCCCGAAGGTTCGTAGCATTCTCACAAAACTCTTTGATGCCGTCTAAATTAATGTTTTGAAGTGTATCTTGAAGTTTTGTTAGAACCCAAGCCATAACTGAACCTTGTGAAGCAGACGAAGATATAGTTTAACAATACACTATATCTTTTATACTTAAAGTACAAAACATTAAAGAGTCAACAGCCTAAATATATAACCCGACCTTGACAATAAATGTGATACTTTTCACCACACGTCATAATTATATAGCCTACTGATAACCTCAACTTTATGACTAAACAAATGAAATGGATTTAACGTATTATTTCAGTGAATTGAGGTTTAGCGTCCGTTTTTCACTTATATTTGACATACGAAACTTAAATATATCGTATCTATCTACAATTCGCTCAGTTTGAGAGGGGGAGGAGAAACTGGGGTTTATAGTCGAGAATCAAAACCACGCTACTTGACTCGACGCACGCGTTGAATCACTAGTGTATATAATAATAATAATAGTTTATTCACAACTACATGTACAAGCATGAGTATGGAAATTACAACAAACATTTCACATTGTGATGCATTACAATATCTTATTAAATATCTTACAGAATAACATTAATTTTCAAGACGTGTGGTACATATTAAAGCTGAACTCCGGTTACAAAACTACATAAATAATTAAATAAAAAAAAATACAGCTCTAAATAATCGCCATACTTGTTTTCAATTTGTAGAACAAGCATAGCGATTGTATGTCGTACGAAAAAAGAAGCAGGCCACGCCCACATATCCGTTTTTACTCTAATTTCAAAGCAGTTATGTTCAGCGAAATACGACAGACGTCTCAATCGAATGGCAATCTCTAGCGTCTGGTTATTCCAGTCTACACCGATAGTATTTATTGCGCAAGCCTTCCAGATAAGAATATGGAGTCACCGTTTGACATGACTTGTGGAATATGTCTAACCTCGTTCTTCGAGTCGCTTGTTAAAAATTGCGCTGAAACGCTTTATGGTACATGATTCGTGTACCAATGGTAAAATGTTTATTTTGTCTTAAATATTGGATATCAGAAGCCCATCTTTCCCCAGTAAGATCACAACACCAATGTTGATTAAAATTGACAAATAATTCGCGTTTTCATTGTCGAAGGTTTTGGATGATATTGAGTTAGAGACTTAGCTACTTTAAGTTGAATTGAATCAGTTATATGAGGTTTGATAAATGGAGAGAGATATTGTTGTCTCAGATTATCATAAAATGGACAATACAATAAGAAATGTTTTTCATCTTCTACTAATTGAAGGTTGAATTTTTCACATAATCTCTAATTACGAGGAATAAAGGGTTTACTGTATCTTCCCTTTTCAACTTACAGTGTATGTGCACTATACGATGTTACATTACATACATATGCATCTTAACAATGACACAAAATTTTGCTTCATATGCAGTGTATAAGTTATACATGGGTTAATGGGCACTTGTTATTTTGAAGATGGTTGTGTTGTGTTTTAAGATATATATATAGATATGGTATATAGACTGGTATATTGTTATCATATGTAATAAGATATACAGGTATATTAAAGCACCTGCTACTTTTCTTATTTAAAAGTATACATGTATATTATACTTACATTTAAATATACATCAAATCATACAATATAATATTACAAACATACATGTTATAAATGAAATGGGGTTTCACGTCTTACGTGTCTGTGCTAACCGGAATAATGAAGGTGGCTATACGGCAGGCAGAGTCTGAATTTAAAGAGTCTGTCAGCTGTTTGAGGGGGAATGATCAGAAAGTAAATGTACACGAATTAGGGAAATCACCTAATAAAATGACGTCACGGCCTATAAATTACTTTGGGAAGAACTAGAAGAATATTCAAACGGTCAATCCCACTCAATATTTTATCAGATGATTATTACATGTTGGGCTGAAACAATACAGACAGAGCAACAAAAGTCCATGTCTTTGCTCCAAAATTTGTATGAGGTTGATCACTGAAATTTCGAGATAGATGTACGAAAAACATGTAAATATCCACCGTACTTATCACCGGGACCAACCTCTTAACCGAGATGGTAAAATTTAATTGTGATCTTCAACCGTCTTAGTCCGTCGCGATATACAGGATTATCTCCCATTATCAGGAAAGAGGATCGACTATGCGTGACATTCTAAATAATTAATACAATACATTTTCGGGATATTTTTTCAAAATCATTGACGGATTAATATTATCGACGCATAGAGTACATAATATGACGCAATAAAAAGTGTCCTGTGTCCCTTCTTTTTACTAGAAAATAATGTCTATCGTTGATTCACCAAATTACACCCCCCCCCCCCACTCCCGCCGCCCAACATGAATAGCAATGGTGCTGTGGTCAGTTACATGCCATGTATGCCGTCTTATAACCATGTTGAATTCATCATCCCTTCACATGATTCAGAGTGATCTTAAACATGATTCAAGAGTCAACTTAAGGGAAGATATTAATGCTAACAGACTACTCACTTAATGCCTTTTCAGAACCGAGGTACATTTTGGTGTTCTTAACATTAACGATAATTAACTAAATTATGTATTTGTAGTCCGCGATTTCGAAACCTTATTCACAAACAAATCGACAGTGTCAACCTAACATAAATGGCAGGTCGAATGCAATGATTATTATGGGTGCTAATGGAAAACAGTATTCCGATACAGTGCGGCTTTCGGAGACCATGATAAGGAACCAAGATCTACCGATCATTTGAGGAATCAGAAAGGTCAGAACGAAAGGGGTTTTTGATTCTAACTATTTCCATACCTACAACTCTGTTATAAAACAGATGGTCTGATAGGAACGTGAAAACTCCATCGAATGGGCAGGCATGGGATCGAAATCACGCCTGTTGACGATCCTATTATCTAACACGCACGCATTTCACCGTTCGCCCCTCCCCCTCCCTCTTTATAACATGTGTCATTTTCCAGTAAGGGCAGGGGTGGGATGGCCAAATGATTAGCACGTGCGCGCTGTATCATAAGGTCTGTCATTGAGTCAACTGGCATGGTTTCGATTCCCCGGTTATACGTGACAAGGAGTTGGGTCGCCTGTCCGATATCGTTGGTTTTCTCCGGTTCCTCCGGTTTCCTCCCACTGCTAAAGACCCCTGCGCGCAAGCGAATTATTGAAATAAAATTGAACCATGTGTTAGATCTAGTTTTTGTCGAGTGGATGTTAAACCCATTTCTCTCTCTTTTTCCAGTAAGAGATCATACCCTGTATTGTACATGACACTCATCATCATCTCTATAAGGAAACATTTAAACAGTGGTATGTAATCATCGCGATTGAAAATAATATAACACAACACAGTTCTATGGATATAGCAATCTCTATATTATATACACACGACGTTTCGACAAGATTTCAGAAGTCGTTATCAAGCATACAAATTTACAAATGGGGAAAATGTGAAAGCGTTATATATAGGTACATTTAACAATAATAACAGAAACCATAAATTAACAATCGTGAAACCCTGGCTAAATTGGCTACACAAAGTAAGTAACATTTTTCCTCGTGAGTAAAATGTTACAAAATTATTTGGAATATGAATGCAAAAGAGTACTGCACTCACTCCAGCTCATGTTTGATTTGAGAAACTGAAATGATGCTTTGGACCCCCTGAATGATTACTTCTGCTACATCTGAACAACAAAGTCAATAAGGATTTCATATTTAGTTATCTTCGAGTAAATTTTAGAGCGGTGATATTTTAAACTAATCAACACGTGTACCAGGGTGTATTTGATGCCTTGGAAAAATATCGAGAACAGGCGCGGATTTAAGGGGGCGGGAGACCAGGTAACCGCGCCCGTGACACAAAGTCCTCTCTGGCACCGTCCCCAAAAATTAAACGTTCAGTTACACGTCGCAATCTGAAACAAACCCAATGCATGTTATCCATAAAGCTGTATGTTATTAATACACGATTCACAGATGTATATTAAATACACAGATGTATATTAAATACACAAATGTCTATTATATACACAAATGTATATTAAATACAGTAGTCAAATAACAACTTTGACTTGATTCTATAATCTGGTCATTTATCGGGGTATGGCTCGAACCTCATATTTAGAAGGAGCGTGGGTAATTCCAAAAACACCTTTTAATGTTGGTAAATTATTAGGATCTACTGGTTTAAATTCAAACCTTTGTATCAAGGTTGTCATAAATAAGAATAATTCCATTTTAGCCAAAGATTCTCCAAGACAGGTTCTTCTTCCTGCAAATAGAAACAATGGTTATTTTATATTATTTCTAGACACTAAAACTATTTTCAGTCATTTTATATCTAGAAAGGGTAACATTATTCCTTCGTTTGCAATACAATAATTCGCTTATGGAATTAGCAGAGGAGAGGGGGGGGGGGGGGTCCTATTCCTTGTCACGTACAAGCTTCAGATCACTTGAATCAATTATCTCATTGTTGCACGGCTTTTTTATGTACTCATTACAGTAATACATATGTGTTTATACCTAGAGAAAAGGGGACGAATTCCTCTCTTTTTACCAGTTGTCCATTTTCATCCAGGAATCTTTCAGGTCGAAAAACATCAGCATCTCCCCAGATTTTGTCGTCTGACAGAACTGAATCAAGATTTGGAATGACTACAGTCCCTTTTGGAATATGATAACCGTGGAATATTATATCCTCGTCAACAGTGTGCGGAATCCCAATAATAATAATATTAACAATTCTCAAAACTTCCTGCAGAACAGCTTCGGTATATGGCATAGATGACCTGTCTTTCATAGAAGGTAGGCGACCTGAACCAACGACATCTTGAATCTCTTTGTAACACCTTGCTTGTACGCTGGGATGATGAAGCAGGTAGAGAATCGTCCATAGAATAGTTGTTGATGTTGTTTCTGTACCAGCTGCAAAAAGATCTCCGATAGATTTGGCTAAGTTCTCCCCTGAAAATGACAGAAATATATATTTCATTGGATGTACATTATAGAGATGAATATAATGCAGGGATAAGAATGTACACTGATTTGTATAAACTTCCCAACGCATACATCACATTAGCAATAACTGTTGTTGTTTAGCTCGTGGTGTAAGAGAGGTGCTCAGTATATTCTAACATTTGAATTCAAGATCTAGTGACAGTGAGCATGCATACTCATTCGACACACGAGTGTTGGCAACATTCTTGATTCTTGCGCCATTACTTACTAAGAAGGTTAATTCACGAAGTCGCCATTTGGCTCGAGGACAGACCTTACGACCACCCAACCACCCAACTAAGATAGATAATACAGCACACATACTATTTATATAGGATTCTTCACCAGTTTTTTCAACTAGTTTCATTTCTTTAATATAGCTGCTGATAAAATCATTGGTGTTGTTCTCGTCATAATTCTTCAAATGATCATTAATAGATGATTCAACCAACTTCTTCTCAATGATCGCAACATTACGCATCGTTCTCTTAAATTTGAACAAATCACCAGGTAAGAATCGAAGAAATGGTAGGACATTCATCACAACTGTGGACCCAACCGCTGAGAAATTCTCTTCGATCTTCTCTAGAAATTCTTTAAATATTGGATCCTCATAATCAAATCTTTGTCCATAAACTAAAGATGAAATCACGTTGGATACCGAGGCTTGGGTTAAGCGCCACATGTCAAATTGTCTACCCTTCTGGTTTCCAATAATTTCAACAAAATATCCAATTTCTTCATTAATTTTGTCTTCAAGTATCGTTTTTCCAAAACCAAATTCTCTTAAAGTTTCTAGAGCAAATTTTCTTTGATCTTTCCATAACTGACCCGAGGACAGGATAATCCCTGAAAATGAAATTTCATAACTGTTAGATATTCGATTTGAGGACATAGAGAGGTGTATGCCTGGAATCCGAATATATGTCTACAAAACAGTAGACGTTATACCTCCCATAGCCGAATGTCCATTTTACAACGTGTTATGGAATGAAATCAATTGAAACAGGGTTTCGCGTCTTACTTTTCTATTCCACCCCTGTTAATGAAGACGGTTCATTTCAATCCAGGCTTTCGATCATGCAGCAAAAGAATCCAAGAACTAAAACCTTTCTTTATCAAATTTATCAGAATAATATCTACATGAATGTCTGTCTTAGAACTTCGAATTTCGATAAGACATTTTTGTATGACCATGCTAAAATCTGAATTCATTGATAGAAATCCACCTAAGAAAGATGTGGGGTAAGGTGGGGGCTTATACATAGATCAACATCTGTAAGGATAAATCACGAATTACGCTTATTGACTAGAATCTTTACCTTTTTTCTGGTTGATCATATCGGTGACAAACATGGACGGTCTGCTACTAAAGACGTCGGCCCTTTTCACTAAAGCTTCTTTAATCAAATCATAACCACTAATGAATATAAATAATCTCGGTCCAAAATAAACGCTAAATATATCTCCATATTTCTTTCTCAGTTGTCTTGGGGCTATTCTCACATCACCGTCTCCTCCGTCCAGGGACAATAGGTCTCCTAGTATTGGTAACGTAAATCTTGGACCTGGGGGGATCCCTCGGGGTTTTCTCATCAACCACCATATTCCAACACAAACACCAAATACTAAACAAGTTCTGATATTAACATTATCCTTACAAAACTCCTTGATATCGTCTATGGTAATGTCTTGAAATACGTCATGCAGTTTTGTTAGAACCCCAGCCATGTTATTGAACACTAACGAAAACTAACAACACAAACGAACGGTGTGTAGTTCAACTAAAGGTCAAGTGCGATATTGTAGTTTCTGTATATCAAACCCACATCACTTAAGCTACTGAACACATAACGTTAGACTTAATTTATACAACTACTACGTTAGCGTAATATATATCACAAATTGCATATTTGTCAGTTTTGTTCCATACTGATTTAATATATTAGAGTCTTGCATCAATAATGGACAAAATCCAATAAAATATCTCGACTATAAAGTGTTTCAACATACCCTTACACTTCATATCGCCGTTTATGTTGTTTGTTGTAGGTCATATCTATGGAGCGGAAATCAAGACATAATTGTTACATGAGCCAGTAATGCGTACGTTAATACGCATGACAAATGCTAAATTGTGTGACCTATTTCTTCAGTGTGGTTGTTTGGTTTATATTTTGTTGTATTACCGCTACTTTCAATTTTATGTCGTATTTATTACAATTACTGCATAAACAAGCTCAGACAGGCGTGGACATAATGGAGTTGGTTTAGAGAAGACACTATTTGTAGGTTTCACGTCAATACAGTACAACATATCATAGAGTTAAATTCTGATGAAATAAATACAACGAACAACCAAAACCAGGATATATGCTTTTGTTTGTTTGGGGTTTGTTGGGTTTTTTCTATTTGAATAGGAATAAGGTTTAGTGTGAACAAATCACTAAATCGGTCAGTTCGGGTAAATATTGTACTATTAATTTGCGCGAGGTGGTTTTTTTGTTTGTTTATAGAGTTTTGTTTTTTGGTATTTTAGTTGCACTAATGACTGAAAGGCCAGCCCGGGAACATAACGTATGACACAGTTAGCTTGCGCGGGGTGTTTTTTTACGAACTAAGGTAGGGAGAGAGAAATGGGGTTTAACGTCCACTCGACACAAACTAGGTCATTTAGCACTAACATATGTTTCAATTTTATTTCAATAATTCGCTTGCGCATAGGGGTCTTTAGCTTGTACAAGCGGGAAATGGAAACCACGCCACTTGACCCTATGGCGGACCGTTTGGTTCACGTGCACACGTTAAACCACTAGACCACCCAATACCCTAACTTGGAGGATGTGAGTGGTGGAATTGGATAGCCCACTATTCCTAACTGTCATTGGGGATTGACGAAATGAATTGCATGGAAAAGTATTAGATATACTTGGACAGTTTCTAAAATAGCTGCCATGCTTGCTATCTACGGATACCCTAACAGACCCATTCGAAGTCAAAACTAATTAATGAACCATATATTAACTGACCGTTTGGGTTTAATTTTTTAAACAAGTTCACAACAGTTAAACAAAGGGAAGGTTAAGTCCCCTGTCTACATAGTAAGGTATATATACAGTTCATATCAAGTCATACATGAAATGAGATGGGGGTTCAACGTCCTACTTTTCTGCAACAAACAGGATAATGATGGCGGGTGATGCAGGATATCGAGTTATAAAGTAACGGAATACGAAAACACAAAAACAAACGGTCCTGTTAATAATGACAGACAAAAGTGGACAGGAGAGTAAAATTTGCAAAAAAAAAAACGACCGACAAGTAAAGATCATGTGTGATAGACATACATATCCAAATTTAAAGATAAAGAGCTGAACACTCTTGCTATAAAAGCTCAAAAATAGATGATGTAAAATGAAAATATTGAAAATCTAATTGCACACATCTTGTCCAAACTAAAAGAGTTATAACTTAGGTCAGAATGAAGTAGTATACTAATAGTAGTTAATAACGGTAAGTAGCCACACCATCATCATAAAATACCTGTAATTAGTTTACGAATATTTCTAGATAATTCACTGACAAACGACCATGGTGGTTTATGTTATACACGGTTCGTGGATATATATTTAAAGTATCAAAACGACAATACATGATTCACAGATCAATGTTAAATACAACAGCCAAATAACAACTTTGACATGATTCTTTAATCTGGTTATTTATCTGGGTATGGCTCGAACCTCATATTTAGAAGGAGCGTGTGTGATACCAAAAACACCTTTTAATGTTGGTAAATTATCCGGATCTACTGGTTTAAATTCAAATCTTTGTATCAAGGTTGTCATAAATAAGAATAATTCCATTTTAGCCAAAGATTCTCCAAGACAAGTTCTTCTTCCTGCAAATAGAAACAATGGTTATTTTATATTATTTTTAGAACACCTGGTGCCATGTCTTATTTCAGCTCACATGACTAAAAAACATTTTCAGTCATTTTGTATTTATAAAGGATAACAGTATTTGTTCTTTTGTAATACAATAATTCGCTTGCGCAGGGGCGTCTTTAGCGGGGGCGGGGAGTCGAGAATCCGGAGAAAACACGCGAGATTGGAAGGCGATCCTACACTTGTCTCGTATAAGCTTCGGATCAATGATCTTATTGAGTAATACATATGTTATACCTAGAGAAAAAGGGATGAATTCCTCTCTTTTCACCAGTTGTCCATTTTCATCCAGGAATCTTTCAGGTCGAAAAACATCAGCATCTCCCCATATTTTGTCATCTAAGAGAACTGAATCAAGATTTGGAATGACTACAGTCCCTTTTGGAATATGATAACCGTGGAATATTATATCCTCGTCAACAGTGTGTGGCACCCCAATAATAACAATATTAGCAATTCTCAAAACTTCCAGCAGAACAGCTTGGGTATATGGCATAGATGACCTGTCTTTCATAGAAGGTAGGCGACCTGAACCAACGACATCTTGAATCTCTTTGTAACACCTTGCTTGTATGTTTTGAGTATGAAGCAAGTAGAGAATTGTCCATAAAATAGTTGTTGATGTTGTTTCTGTACCAGCTACAAAAAGATCCCCGATAGCTTTAGTTAAGTTCTCTCCTGAAAATGACAGAAATATATATTTCATTGGATTTACATTATAGAGATGAATATAATGCAGGGGTCAGAATGTCCACTGATGTCGTCTTATGGTTTGGATGCAACTATGGCGGGTGTGGCGCCAGGCAGGGTAAGCTTACTCTTCCGGACACCTGTTACCACTGTTTGTCGTATATTTTGTACACGTGAACAGTTCATTTGCTGATTACACTATTTTGCCTATACCGTTTTTTAGGATTTCGATTTTTGTCTAATGGTTTGGATTGTTCGTACTTGGTTTTATTTTATTCCAACGCATACATCACTTTAGCATAAACGGTTGTTGGTTACCTCGTTCAGGAGAGATGCGCAATATATTCTAACATTTGAATACAAGAGCGTGGTGGCCGTGAATACACACGATTGTTGGCAACATTCGTAATTCTTGCGCCATTACTCACTATTATATTTGGCACTAGAGTCATAGGCGATCTGGAGTCGGTCGGGTCTATTTTAACATGTGGCTCGGGATGAGAAATCCATGTTTTGAAAATCTGATATTTATACTCGTGGCTCAGTGTATGTTCCTGAAAATCTAAGAAGATTCTGTGAGGAAATGTGGCAAGTATGACATCAGTAATCAATATGATCTCCAACCACTTCGTTTATCAGGTATCATGACCGACAATGTGATCGCGAATTAAGACCTTCATTCACGAGATTGACCAGACGACCCTACACCTTATCACATACAGGTGTGGCATCGGAGCCCCGCCACTCGACTCAATGACACAGAGAGTGGGAAATGGGTTTTAACTTCCACTCGACACAAACTAGGTCATTTCGGGGTTAACATATGGTTTAATTTTATTTGAATAATTCGTAGGGGTCTTTAGCAGTGTGAGGAAACCGGGGGACTTAGAGAAAACCCACGAGAATGGACAAGTGACCCTACTCCTTGTCACGTACAACCAGGGAATCGAAACCACGCAAGTGGATTCAGTGACAGACCTTATGATACAGCACACACGCGCTCTAACCATTCGGCCATCCAACCCCCTTACTCCATGACAGACCTTACGATGTAAAACGCAGGATCTACACCATTCAACCACGTAACCGCCTAACTAAGATAGATAATACAGCACACTTACTATTTATATAGGATTGTTCACCAGTTTTTTCAACTCGTTTCATTTCTTTAATATAACTACTAATATAATCATTGGTGTTGTTCTCGTCATAATTCTTCAAATGATCATTAATAGAAGGTTCAATTAATTCCATCTCTGCTGTTTTAACATTACGAATCGTTCTCTTAAATTTGAACAAATCACCAGGTAAGAATCGAAGAAATGGTAGGAAATTCATCACAGCTGTGGACCCAACCGCTGAGAAATTCTCTTCGACCTTCTCCAAAAATTTTTTAAATATTGGATCCTCATACTCAAATCTTTGTCCATAAACTAAAGATGAAATCACGTTGGATACCGAGGCTTGGGTTAAGCGCCACATGTCAAATTCTCTACCCTTCTGGTTTCCAATCATTTCAACAAAATATCCAATTTCTTCATTAATTTTATCTTCAAGTATCGTTTTTCCAAAACCAAATTCTCTTAAAGTTTCTAGAGCAAATTTTCTTTGATCTTTCCATAACTGACCCGAGGACAGGACAATCCCTGAAAATGAAATTTTAAAATTCTGTGATATTCGATTTGAAGACATCGAGAGGGGTATGCCTGGAATACGAATATATGCCTATAAACCAGTGCATTGAGAAGAGTGTGCATATGGAATCCAGATATGAGTCTATCTTCCAGTACACTTGATCGTCCATTGCGAATGTCCATTTCCGTCTAGAGCATGTTATACATCTGCAAGACAATAAATATTATTTCGATGAAATGAAATGAAATGAAATTGGGTTTAACGTCCTACTTTTCTAACCACCCGGGCTATTGAAGGCCGTTCATTTCGAATCATGCTTTCGACCAGCAAAAGAAGCTCTTATAAATAGATCAAGCAGATAAATCATGAATTGCCCTTATGGAAGGGAATCATTGCTTACCTTTTTTCTGGTTGATCATATCGTTCATAAACATTGACGGTCTGTTACTAAACACGTCGGCCCTTTTCACTAAGGCGTCTTTAATCAAATCATAACCATTGATGAAGATAAATAATCTCGGTCCAAAATAAACGCTAAATATATCTCCATACTGCTTTCTAAGTTTTCTAGTGGCTATTCTCACATCACCGTCTCCTCTGTCTAGAGACAATAGGTCTCCTAGTATTGGCAAAGTAAATCTTGGACCTGGGGGGATCCCTCGGGGTTTTCTCATCAGCCACCATATTCCAACACAAACGCCAAATACTAAACAAGTTCTGACATTAACATTATCCTTACAAAACTCCTTGATATCGTCTATGGTCAAGCCTTGAAATACGTCATGCAGTTTTGTTAGAACCCCAGCCATATTATTGAACACTAACGAACACACCTGATTTAAATAAAGGTCAAAGTGCGATATTGTAGTTTCAGTATATCAAAACAACGTCACATAAACTACTGAACACCGTAAATTAGACTTAACATTAATTTATACAACTGCTACGTTAGCGTAATATATATCACAAATTGCATATTTGTCAGTTTGGTTCCATACTGATTTAATATATTAGAGTCTTGCATCATTATGATGGACACAATCCAACCAAATATCTCCACTATAAAGTGTTTCAACATACCTTTGCACTTATCTTATCGCTGTTTGTTGTAGGTCATATCTATGGAGCGGAAATTAAGACATAATTTTACTTGACCCAGTAATGCGTACGTGAATACGCATGTAAAATGCTAAATTGTGTGACATATTTCTTCAGTATGTTTTTTTAGTGTATATTTTGTTCTATTTCAGTTACTTTTAATTTTATGTCGTATTTGTTTAGAGGTTAAAGCGTTACTAGAGTTGCAATTGTGTCGGAAATTCAGCTTCATACAGTTAGTTACTGCCTAAACAAGCCCAGCCAGGCGTAAACATGATTGAGTTGGCTTAGAAAAGAAACTATTTGTGGGTTTCGCGTCAATACATAACAGAATATCTTAGGGTTGAATTCTGATGAAATAAATGAAAAAAACAACCAAAACTCGTTTTTGTATGTTTGTTTGGGGTTTGTTTTGCTTGAAAGCTCCAGAAAATAAATAATATCTATATCTAAGTACTAGATGTTTAAGTGTCCTACCTGTTGTGTAAATTATCCATTACATCCTATTTTACTTGTCCAGAGGGTTCGAAAATATTTTTAAATCGAAGTTTCATTTGAAAAGGTTTACGTTAGACGTTTCAAACCATTATGTTGAATTTTTCAAAATTTTTAAATAAGGTGTGTTAAGATGAAATTTGTATCATCAATTAATTGAAATATTCTAAAATAGTACAATTTGTTGACCAGAATAAAGATTGGGACATATTATTCAGTTACAACATGAGTGGTATTGAGCCTTTAACGGGTGGGATATTTATGAAATGAAATGAAACGGGGTTTAACGTCCTACGGTTCTAGTCCCATTGATCTGCAGTAGATTGGCATACGCCATACAGTGTGCTCTTGCCCGAACACTCGACTCAGAGTGAAGTAATTTGACTAAAATTTTCAGCATATTCCCTTTACATTATCTATCTTAGAGCGAGGACTGTTAGCTCTTTATCTAATCTTCCATACTGTCGCTTTAATAAATTGATACAATTATGGGTACTTGAAATGTTGACAAAACGCCGCAATAACGACAAATCAGGATTAGGTTACACTGTATACACTATTTATAAATTTATGTCGGGTGTCATGCAACCTTACAAACATTTGGATAAAAACCTTTCGTTCGACAGTATCAGCTTTATTGAATTCGGTGAGCATGTTGGACTTTCTCCATCCTGATCTGTTTTCAAGTGTCGCTTAAAAACTTTGCAATTTAAATGCCACAAATGACTCATAATTGAGAGCAATATTATTCTAAGTCGAAAATTTTGTAGAATGTGGTACCACACAGGCACATAGGGAGGTCTGAGAAGAATTTTTGGAAAAAAATTGATTTTTTTCAAAGTCCAATAGTTATTCTAAGTCGAAAATCTTGTGGAATGTGGTACCACACAGGCATATAGGGAGGTCTGTGAGGAATTTTTGGAAAATCCAGTAGACGTTACCTCCCATGTCATGACATGAAATCAAATTAAATGGGGTTTAACGTCCTACTTTTCTACTCCATCCGGGCTAATAAAGACGGTTCGTTTCGATTTATGCTTTCGATCAGCAAAAGAATCCCAGAACTCAAAGCTTTTTTTATTATCAAATATATCAGAATAATATTTCCAAGAATGGCTATCTTAGAACTTTGAATTTCGACAAGACTTTGTCCTATGCCCATGTTTAAATCAGAAAGCATCGATAGAATGTGAACTAAGAAATAAAAATGAAATGAAATGGGGTTTAACGTCCTACTGTTCTGCTCCGATCTGGGCTAATGAAGACGGGCATACGCCATACTCTGTGCTATGAGGGAAATTTTGCCCGGGCAGCGGCACTATGGCCAACTCTTATATCGAATTCCAACTGTCTAGGGATCTTTTACGCGCACGTCAATGTGAACACGGGACCTCGGTTTTTCGTGCCATCCGAATGACTAGACAGCTGTCCTTGTCAGGCCCTCCATCCTCTATCACTGACAAGGGGGAACCACGCCGGAAAATCTGGATGAACTTTCTCGGCCAAAGCAGGGATCGAACACCGGGGCGGGGGGGGGGGGGGGTGGTCACGCGGCCCGGAGTTTTCGCATCAGACACTATTTTCAATCACAATACTAAACAAATTCTGGTTACAAAAATCGTGGATATCGTCCATGGTACTGTCTTGGAATACATCATGAAGTTTTGTTAGAACCCCGGTCGGTCATGTTATTGAACACTAACGAACATCAACAACAAAAACGAACGGTGTTTGGTTTAATTAAAAGGTCAGAGTACGATATTGTAGTTTAAGTATTTCAAACCAACGTTGACTGGGCTTGTTTAGCCAGTTACTGTATGGGCTGAATTTGCAACACAATTGTAACTTTAGTAACGCTTTAACATCTAAACAAATATGACATCAAGTTAACTGTAATGGAAATAGAACAAATCATAAACCAAACAGCCATACCGAAGAAATCGGTCACATAATTTAACATTTTCATATGTCTAAATAGCCAATTTACGATACGTAAGGAAAAGGATACACACACTAGAGACTTTTGGCAAGTGGAATTTTTCCCATCCGTATAACGTATCCGTATCGTCACGTGATACGTTGCGTTAATTTAGTTTTAGAGTTTTGGCAGACTTCGCGCCGCGTACGTATGGGTAGCTGAGCTGAGCGTAGTTTATTACAGTATAATGGCAGTTATCTACCAAGATCAACATCAGTACTAGTCAAGTACCTAGCCTACAAATTCCTAAAGGGAGTGAAGTCGTTCGACAGTCGCTGAGTTATTTACATATTTTTTTTTTTAAATTAGTGTCGAATCTTATTAAAAATCTTCATTAATGTATCATTTCAGAAAGTATATACCCCTTTTACAGATTTGCAAGGTCCCACCTCCCTAAATGTAGCATATAGATCAACCAGCGTGCAAACAGGCAGGAAAAATATAAAAATTCATCAAAAGTAATAATTAAATTCTAGTCTTTGCCATGGTTAAAATCACATCAAATATACACCTTCGTGTTCTAGAATACACATAGATTCATAAAAACGCTACGGCACAACATTTCAGCGTCTAAAAGTAGCAAAACATACGGTAAAAAGACGACGATGTTATACGGACCTTTTCCGTATGAAAGCTGTTCGATACGTGCTGCCGTAACCGTGTGCCGTATCACGTATGAGAAATACACACGCATTGATCACGTCACACATAAAATCGTTACGGATACGCAATACGGACCAATAATTTACGTTTGCCAAAAGTCTCTACTGAAGCAAGTGTAGTAACGTACGCGTTACGGGGTCGAGTAACAATTATGCCTTGATTTTCGCTCCATAGATATGACCTACAACAAACAACAAAAACGGCGATAAAAGGGTATGTTAAAACACTTTATAGGGGAGCTATTTGGTTGGATTGTGACTCTTAATATATTCAGTCAAATATATGCATTTATCACGTAGTAGCTGTATTAATTAATGTTACGTCTTATTTACGGTGTCGAATAGTTTATGTGATGTTGGTTTGATATAATGAAACTACAATATCGCACTTTGACCTTTATTTAAATCAGGTGTGTTCGTTAGTGTTCAATAACATGGCCGGGGTTCTAACAAAACTGCATGACGTATTTCAAGACATTACCATAGACGATATCAAGGAGTTTTGTAAGGATAATGTTAATGTCAGAACTTGTTTAGTATTTGGTGTTTGTGTTGGAATATGGTGGCTGATGAGAAAACCCCGAGGGATCCCCCCAGGTCCAAGATTTACGTTACCAATACTAGGAGACCTGCTGTCTATGGACGGAGGAGACGGTGATGTGAGAATAGCCCCAAGACAACTGAGGAAGAAATACGGAGATATATTTAGCGTTTATTTTGGACCGAGATTATTTATATTCATTAGTGGTTATGATTTGATTAAAGAAGCTTTAGTGAAAAGGGCCGACGTGTTTAGTAGCAGACCGTCTATGTTTATGAACGATATTCTTACACAGAAAAAAGGTAAGCAAGAATTCTTGTCCATAATCGTAATTCGTGATTTATCCTAGGAGATGCTTATTTATACATACGAACGCCACCCCTCACCTTTCTTAGACGACTTTTTATCGATGCATTCAGATTTCAACATGGTACATGGCCATACTAAAATCAATCTGATTAAAACACAGATCATATTTCGTTTCGTTCTTTATAGTTCACAATTTCGTTTACTTGTCTTCACAACACTATATAGGATCTGGAAGAGTTGTTATATTACATGCCCCCAAGTTCATGTAAAGAATTGACAATGAAACGGTCTGTTACGGCTAGTTTTTAGCGTGCGTTTGCACGGTACTGTGGGTAAACCCCTAGAAACGTCAACGCTGATTGATTAATCAATCTCTGTCTCTGACGTCGTATGACCCCTGACACGACCTCCCTGTACAACTAGTCACATCTACATGCAGTGTAGGTCATCGAAAGTATAAAAAACGTATTTTAATCAGATTGTAATAAAATGTCTTAACGAAATTCGAAGTTCTAAGATAGCCATTCTTGGAGATATTATTCTTGCATATTTGATAATAAAAGCTTTGAGTTCTGGGATTCTTTTGCTGATTGAAAGCATGAATCGAAATGAACCGTCTTCATTAGACCTGAAGAGTAGAAAAGTAGGACGTTAAACCCATTTAATTTGATTTCATGTCATGACATGGGAGGTAACGTCTACTGGGTTGGGTTATATTTGGATTCCATGCAAACTCCTCTCAATGTCCTCAAATCGAATATCACACAATTATTAAATTTCATTTTCAGGGATTGTCTTTACTTCGGGTCAACAATGGAAAGATCAAAGAAAATTCGCTCTAGAAACATTAAGAGAATTTGGTTTTGGAAAAACGATACTTGAAGATAAAATTAATGAAGAAATCGGGTATTTTGTTGAAATTATTGAAAACCAGAAGGGTAGACAATTTGACATGTCGCGATTAACCCAAGCATCAATATCCAACGTGATTGCATCTTTAATTTATGGACAAAGATTTGATTATGAGGATCCAATATTTAAAGAATTTCTAGAGAAGATCGAAGAGAATTTCTCAGCGGTTGGGTCCACAGTTGTGATGAATGTCCTACCATTTCTTCGATTCTTACCTGGTGATTTGTTCAAATTTAAGAGAACGATGCGTAATGTTGCGGCCGTTGAGACGAAGTTGGTTGAATCATCTATTAATGATCATTTGAAGAATTATGACGAGAACAACACCAATGATTTTATTAGTACTTATATTAAAGAAATGAAACGAGTTGAAAAAACTGGTGAAGAATCCTATATAAATAGTAAGTGTGCTGTATTATCTATCTTTGTTGGAGTTGAGCGGTCGAAAGGTATCACGTGTGCGTTTTGGATCCTAAGGTCTGTCATTGAGTCAAGGGGCGGGCCTCCGATGCCACACTTGTATGCGATAAGTTGTAGGGTCGCCTGCCAAACCTCGTGAATGAACGTTCTCACTTCGCGATGGCATCGTGGGTCATGATACTGGATAAGCAAAGTGTTTGAAGATCATAATGATTCCTGGTGCCACACTTACCCAATTTTCTCATACAATCTTCTCGGATTCTCATTAACATACACAGAGCCACAAGTGTAAACATCAGATTTTCAAAGCACAGATTTTGCATTCCGAGGCACATGTTAAAATAGACCCTGACCCGACTCCAGACCGCTTGTGACAATCTGAAAACTCTTCTAAATTCCGTAAGTAATTTCTGTTCTTTAGTAGTAAAATTCTGTGCGAATGAGTATGCGTACTCACTGCCTAGACGCTCTTGAATTCAATTATTTGAATATACTGCACGACGAGCTAAACCAACAGTTAATACTATTGTGATGTATGCGTTGGGAGGTGTATACGAACAGTGTATATTCTGATTCATGCATTATATTCAAGGCGCCATCATCTCTGCAATGTACATCCAATGAAATATATATATTTTTGTCATTTTCAGGGGAGAACTTAACCAAATCTATCGGAGATCTTTTTGTAGCTGGTACAGAAACAACATCAACAACTATTTTATGGACAATTCTCTACCTGCTTCATAATCCAAACATACAAGCAAGGTGTTACAAAGAGATTCAAGATGTCGTTGGTTCAGGTCGCCTACCTTCTATGAAAGACAGATCATCTATGCCATATACCGAGGCTGTTCTGCAGGAAGTTTTGAGAATTGCTAATATTGTTATTATTGGGGTGCCGCACACTGTTGACGAGGATATAATATTCCACGGTTATCATATTCCAAAAGGGACTGTAGTCATTCCAAATCTTGATTCAGTTCTCTTAGATGACAAAATATGGGGAGATCCTGATGTTTTTCGACCTGAAAGATTCCTGGATGAAAATGGACAACTGGTAAAAAGAGAGGAATTCATCCCCTTTTCTCTAGGTATAGACGAATTTATTACTGTCGATAATTTACCACACAAATCAATAAAACCCATTTTTTTCCCAGCTCAGAGTTTAAGGACCCAATCCTAATCTAATCTGTGTGTGCTTCAGATCACGAGGCTTGATTTCGATCCGAAGCTTGTCTGTCACAATGCATAGGATCGCCTGTCTAACATCGTGGGTTATCTCCTCCGGAGTTTCCGTCCCCACCCCCCCCCCCACTACCAAAGCGCAAGTGAATTCCCCAAATATAACTTACCATAAAGTCCCAAAGTGACGTTACACGTCCCTCGCCCCCTCCCAATCGCATTTTATGGTACTGCAAACGAAGAAATAATGTTATCCTTTATAAATACAAAATGACTGAAGACAGTTTTTAGTGATGTGAACTGAAAAAGGCATGGTATCAGGTGTTCTAGAAATAATATAAAATAACCATTGTTTCTATTTGCAGGAAGAAGAACCTGTCTTGGAGAATCTTTGGCTAAAATGGAATTATTTTTATTTATGACAACCTTGATACAAAGATTTGAATTTAAACCAGTAGATCCGAATAATTTACCAACATTAAAAGGTGTTTTTGGAATTACTCATACTCCTTCTAAATATGAGGTTCGAGCTGTTCCTAGATAAGCGACCAGATTTTAGAATTAAGTGACGGTTGTTTTTGACTATTGTATTTAATATACATCTGTGAATCGAGTATAATTTAGAACACGTTTCTCGGTGAATTTTCTCATTAAATATAATAGTAAACTACCTACAGGCATATATGACGAGGGTGTGGCGGCGCACCATTCATTATTAGCTGACTACACTACTATCTCTTAGGACTGTATAATAGAGCATTCAGCGCCCGAACAATCTGATTAAAATACAGATCCAATTTCGTTTCGTTTTTATATTTCAAAATTTCGATTTTACTTGCCTTTACTACATTTGGATCTGGAAGCGTTGTTATTTAACTCGTATTCTGCTTGAAATGAGGGGTCAGCCAATCAAATGGTCTGTCGAATCGAGCGTTTGACCTTTTTTGCGCGGAACTGTGGGTAGACATTAGCGGCAATAGAAATCAAAACAAAGCAAAAGTAGATAAAAAAAAATACATGGCGGTCGCTAATTGGTTAATCGAATGACTGACGTAATCGGGTCAAATTTTGCTTGCTTGGTACCTGACGTCATATAACGTGGACTCCCACTATAACTTGTTAGATTTACATGTAGTGTAGGCCATCGAAAGTATCAAAAACGAAACGAAATATAGATCTATATTTTAATTAGATTGGCGCCCGAACATTCAGATTTGTTGATAGGCGATTGAAAAGGTTCAAAAGGGACTCATATTATTTGGACTGGAATAGATCGTGTTGATTTATTGGCAGTTTCATTAATATTTTGAAGCTGAGGAATCGGGTGTATATCCAGACCCTTCAGAATGTAATGGGGATTAAAGTCCCATCAACACAATGGGTCGTTCATGAAAACAACCTACTTGCCAATGACATTTTAGAGCTGGGGAATCGGATGTATATCCAGGTCAGCTAGAACGTAACGAGGATTCGTTTATTTTGAGACTAATATATAGTCTAACACAACGCAGTTCTATGGATAACAATATCAATCACTATATTATACACACACGACGTTTCGAAACAAATTTACAAATGAGGAAAAATGTTATTCACTTTGTGTAAACCAATTAAGCTAGGGTTTCTTGGTTGTAAATTTGTATGCTTGATAACGTCGCGTGTATTTCAAATTTGCATATTCCAAAACCAAAAAATAAAACCTTTGCTGACAGATCTTTCAGTGCAGCGGGACCAAAACTTTGGAATAAACTACCTCGAAATATGAAAAAGTGTCCTTCTTTGGAAAGTTTTAAGAAAAATTTGAAAACTTATCTATTTCAAAGAACATTCTGCAAATGTATTTTGTGTTTATTTAAAGAACAATATTGGTGTCAGTCATTGTGACATATGTGATAGAACTGGTTAAACACATTCCAAATATTATTTGGTATATTCCACACATCATATCTAAAATTTTATAATAAATTGATAAATAAATTGGCATATGTTAAAGGTTTAAAAAATTTCAAGCAAAAGAAAGTTTACAGAAAAGATGTGCTCTCTTCAAGTGTAGATCACTGAATGTTGTCGGTATTTCAAAAGGTGACTGACAAGTAAATATAATGTTATAGATATACGTACATATTCCACACATCATATCCAAAATTTCATAATAAATGATAAAATTGAAATTTTGACAAAACGCCGTAATACCTACAAGAGGGCTACAGTTTACATTGGATTCACTATATATATTTATAAATACTATTGATGACACCCCACACACACACACACACACACACACACACACCCACACACATCCTACACACCCCACTGCGTTCTTATCGGTTCTTGTTAGTGATTAGTAGAGCCCTACGGTTTCGTAATGTTATAAACTGCCGTGCTGTCGATCCATTAATTTATCTGACGTGTGAAGATGCCTGTCACACCCAGATCCCATTCTCTTTAGCCTCATCGTAGTAGTAGTATCTTGGTGCTTTAACGTCTGCTTCCACAGAAGTGATATTGCAGACAAGACATAGGAGAGCCGAAGCTGCTTCCTGTTTTTAGAATATGATTTTGCAATCTTTCCATTTTCGGCCTTATATAGGCCATGGATTGGGTTTAGTGGGAATTTCTTCTTTTTAATTAATGTTTGATAGTTGTTCTCTCCCGTTTCTGGATTGGTAGATGTCATCGTTGTGGGTTTAGGTGCCAGACCCGTCTTATCGTGGCCTCCCCTTACTCCACTATCCCACTCTATTGGTTTGGTATCTGTTTCTATGCGGAATAGTGTTTAGATGCCGAGTCCGTCTGACCGTGACTCTCCCGTACTCCACTATCCTGCTATTTAGCCTTTAGCCTCATCGCTGTGTTAATTCTATTTATACAAGCGCTTGACATGCAAGATACGCCCACATTTTGCAAGAGATGGACAGAGGACGAGCTAAAAAGATAATGCGATTTTTTGTACAATCAGCTGCCATAATCCAGGACGATATGTTCCGATATGCGCGAATATCGAAAGGAACCGAGATCTTTGGATTATGAACATACATTTCAAGTTTCATCAAAATCGGATAAACATTGTAACCTCTAGAGAGTCCACAACCTTCGTATTACATACTTTTACACAATTTGCGTACAAAGAGCGGCCATTATGTTGGGCAGTTTTATTTCAATTTCCCCGAAATTCGAATTCAACCTTCATTATGGTGGAATGGTGATATATTTAAACGGTCTTTTAAAATCGGGGAAAAAATGTGACCTCTAGAGAATCCGCACGCTAAAAATGCGATTTTTCGAACAATCAGGAGCCATAGTCCAGGAAGTTACGTTTGGATATGCGCGATTATCAAAAGGAACCAAGACCTTAGTGTGTAACGATGATATATTCACATGGTTTTTTTTTAACTCGCATAAAAATTGTGACGTCTAAATTTTGTACAATCAAGGGCCATAATTCAGGATATGTTACGTTCCGATATGCGCAAATATCAAAAGGCACCATGATCTGTGGGTTATAAACATGTATTTCAAGTTTCATCAAAATTGGATCAAAACTGTGACCTCTAGAGGGTCCACAACCTTGATATACCAGATGCTTACATTATTTGCGTAAGAGGGGCGGCCATTTTGTCCGACAGTTTTGGTTCGATTTTAACGAAATTCGAACTCAACCAACATTACGGTGTAACGGTGATATATTCGTACGTGTTTGTAAATCAGATAGTAATTGTGACCTCTAGAGGGAGCAGAAGCTAAAACACGACTTTTCGTAAATTAGGGACCATAATTCAGGAAGTTACAATTCTATATGCGCAAATATCGAAAGCAACCAAGATCTTTGGGTTATACACATGCTTTTCAAATTTCATCAAAATCGGATCAAAATTGTGACCTCTAGAGGGTCCACAACCTTGATATACCAGATGTTTACACCATTTGCGTATGAGGGCGGCCATTTTGTCTGGCAGTTTTGGTCCGATTTTCATGAAATTCGAACTCAACCAACAATACGGGGGGTTGGATGGCTGAATGGTTAGATTGCGCGCGCTGTATCATAAAGTCTGTCATTGAGTCGACTGGCGTGGTTTCGAATCCCCGGTTGTACGTGACAAGGAGTAGGGTCGCCTGTCCAACCTCGTGGGTTTTCTCCGGGTCCTCCGGTTTCCCCCCACTGCTAAAGACCCCTATGCGCAAGCGAATTATTGAAATAAAATTAAACCATATGTTAGTCCCGTAATGACCTAGTTTGTGTCGAGTGGACGTTAAACCCCATTTCTCTCTCTCTCTCAACCAACAATACGGTGTAACGGTGATGTATCGAACGTTTTTTTTAAATCAGATAATAATTGTGACCTCTAGGGGGACCACAAGCTAAAAACGTTATTTTTCGTACAATCAGGGGCCATAGTTCAGGAAGTTAAGGTCCGATATGCGCAAATATCGAAAGGAACCAAGATCGTTTGGTTATAAACATGCAATTTAAGTTTCATAAAAATCAGATGAAAATTGTGACCTCTAGAGGGTCCACAACTTTGATATACCATATTTTTACACTGATTTTTATACGCCCACATTTTCATGTGGACGTATTATGCCGTCGCCCCTGTCCGTCCGTCCAGTTTGTGGACACTCTACAGGTCACAATTCTTATCCGATTTTGACGAAACTTGAAATATAGGTTTATCTCCAAAAGATCTCGGCTGCTTTCGATATTGGCATGTATCGGATCGAAACTTCATGGATTATGGCCCCTGTTTGTACGAAAAATCACGTTTTTAGCTTGTGGACCCTATAGAGGTCACAATTTTTATCCGATTTTGTTGAAACTTGAAATGTAAGTTTATAACCCAAGGATCTCGGTTCCTTTCGATATTCGCGCATATCGGACCGTAACTTCCTGAATTATGGCCCCTGATTGTACGAAAAATCGCGTTTTTAGCTTGTGGACCCTATAGAGGTCATAATTTTTATCCGATTTAAAAAAAACCGTATTATTATATCACCGTTACACCCTAAGGACGACCGAGTTCGAATTTCGAGAAAATCGGCCCAAAATTGACAGACAAAATGGCCGTCGTTTGTTCTCAAATATAGTAAGAATATAGTATATCAAGGTTGTTGACCCTATAGAGGTCACAATTTTTATCCAATTTTGTTGAAACTTGAAATGTAAGTTTATAAGCCAAAGATCTTGGTTCCTTTCGATATTCGCACATATCGGACCGTAACTTCCTGAATTATGTCCCCTGATTGTACGAAAAATCGCGTTTTTAGCTTGTGGACCCTATAGAGGTCATAATTTTTATCCGATTTAAAAAACCGTATTATTATATCACCGTTACACCCTAAGGGCGACTGAGTTCGAATTTCGTGAAAATCGGCCCAAAATTGACAGACAAAATGGCCGTCGTTCGTTCTCAAATAGCGTAAGAATATGGTATATCAAGGTTGTGGACCCTATAGAGGTCACAATTTTTATCTGATTTTGTTGACACTTGAAATGTAAGTTTATAACCCAAAGATCTCGGATCCTTTCGATATTCACGCATATCGGACCGTAACTTCCTGAATTATGGCCCCTGATTGTACGAAAAATCGAGTTTTTAGCTTGTGGACCCTATAGAGGTCATAATTTTTATCCGATTTAACAAATCGTATTATTATATCACCGTTACACCCTAAGGACGGCTGAGTTCGAATTTCGTGAAAATCACCCCAAAATTGACGGACAAAATGGCTGCCGTTCGTTCTCAAATAGCGTAGAAATAAGGTATATCAAGGTTGTGGACCCTATAGAGGTCACAATTTTTATCCAATTTTGTTGAAACTTGAAATGTAAGTTTATAACCCGATGATCTCGGTTCCTTTCGATATTCGCGCATATCGGACCGTAACTTCCTGAATTATGGCCCCTGATTGTACGAAAAATCACGTTTTTAGCTTGTGGACCCTATAGAGGTCATAATTTTTTATCCGATTTAAAAAAAAACGTATTATTATATCACCGTTACACCCTAAGGACGACTGAGTTTGAATTTCGTGAAAATCGGCCCAAAATTAACAGACAAAATGGCTGCCGTTCGTTCTCAAATAGCGTAAAAATATGGTATATCAAGGTTGTGGACCCTATAGAGGTCACAATTTTTATCCGATTTTGTTGAAACTTGAAATGTAAGTTTATAACACAAAGATCTCAGTTCCTTTCGATATTTGCGCATATCGAATTGTAATTTCCTGAATTATGGCCCTTGATTGTAGGAAAAATCACTTTCTTGTTAACTTGTTCTCTATCCATCTCTCGAAAATGTGGGCGTATCCTGCCTGGCAGCCGCTGGTTCGTACAGTCAGGGGCCATAATCCATGAAGTATCGATCCGATACATGCCAATATCGAAAGGAACCAAGATCTTTTGGGGATAAATCTATATTTAAAGTTTCGTCAAATTCGGATAAGAAGTGTGACCTGTAGAGTGTCCACAAACAAATTGTTCCTGGACGAACGGACGTCCGGACGGACAGGGACGACGACAATATACGTCCACATGAAAATGCGGGCGTATAAAAATAGCTTGCCAATAAATTACAATAACATATATACCAGGATAGCGTGATATTATGAAAATGAAATGGCGTGTAGCATTTAACTTTTCTGCACCAACTGGGCTAATGGAACGGTCATGCGCCTTGCGGTGTGTTATGAGGGACATGTTGCCCGGACAGCGGCGCTATGGTATACTCTTATATATAATTGCAACTAACGAGGGTTCTAGTAGGGACAATTCAACGTATACACGGAGCTTCGGTTTTTTGTCCCATCTGAACGACTAGACCCGTGCTTACCATGCCGGCCATCCGTTCTTTACCACTGACAAGGGGAAGCACGTCGTAAAAACGGGGTGAATTTCTG